GACGAGTCACAGGTGTTGTTCTCCGCCCCTCCCCTCCCTCCCCTGTCCTCCGTGGGCGCTGGCCGGCCGCCCCACAGCGGACCCACCTGTGACAGTGGGGCCAGTGCACACTGGTCGGAAACGCCCTCACGAGAGGCCACGGGCGATTCCGGAGTTTCGGATTATTTTTTATATAGATCGATTTGAAATTGATCAAATTATTATACATAGGCCAAAAAAACTAATCCAGGTGACCAAAAATAGCTGTAATCAGCCCCCGAAGATGGGGTATCCCAGAACTCGGAAACTGACGCGGAGCAAGAGGTTTCTTGAGCCGGATATTCAGAGTCTTATTGCTGATAGACACCAAATTGAAATCCCACATATTATGCATCAAAATGTTCGTTATGAAGTTGCCGACTGGTCAGTGCAAAATTTTTGGCATACTTTTTCCCTAACTAAGATGTACTATAGCTTTTTATGAAGGCTCTCCTACGGTGATTCTAGAATATAACTGCAAAGTTTAGGTAAGGAAACAACAGGTAGTCCCATCTAGTTCCACTCTGATTTTTTGTGAGATGAAGTAGGATTTAAATTTACACCAGGGCAACATAAAAGCTAACTGCGCATATTTGCGCAAAATTTGCAGGAGCCGCTCTTCCTACCCAACTACCGCCCGCCCCGCCCCAGTTTCGGCTCGGCCGCCGCGCCCGGCTTACGCTGACCTGTGTGGCCTGCACGCATCCATGCGTAGTTGACTGGTCATTAAAAACAGATGCGCTTGAGTTTATGAATTTTGTGAAAAGCGCGTTTTATGTATGCATTTATGTATGTATTGACATCAAAAGCTTTCCACATATTGCGTGGCGATTACGGCTTGCATTTAGAGAGCCTTGCTATTGACAACCATCATTCGGCTGAAGAAAGTGGAAATTGAAACCTTCGTGAATACAAGACGCTGCAAACATAGGACACCTGTCACTGACGTCGGGTTACCTTGGGCCGTCTTTTTACATTAGATCACAATTCCGGTATTTAACCCTGGCCGGACCGATTGGTTTTCTACATTGACCGGGGAGGGTTGGTACAACTCCCTCGCCGTTTCGCCTCTAATTGAGCTAGAGCCTCGCGGGAAAAAAACAAGCTGGTGTGCCGTTATAAGACGCAAAAATTAGGTACCACCCGATTTTAAGGTCTTAGGTCAGCCAGTGACCTCTTAGGTCAGGTAAGTGCCACAAGGCACGGGCTCGGTTTTAGGTTAATTACATACTTTGCCAAAAATGGTCGCACTGCCGCGATTTTGGCATAATCGTGTTTGTCTAGCTCAGGCGCGTTGAATGCTATACTTGATGTTCGGGTGAAGTCAGCTTAACCCTCGCCGGCACAGGCCATTTTGCGTCCTTCGACGGCACAAGGGGGGGGGGGGGGGGGTACGACCCCCCTCGCGTTTGGCCCCTGATCGAGCTAGAGCCTGGCGGAAAAAAACGAGCGTGTTGCCCGTCACGAGAGGAAGCCGATGATACCCAATTTTAAGGTCCTAGGTCATCGGGTGACCTTCCAGGTCAGGTCAATGACCCGAAAACCGGGAAAATCGGGACCTGTTAGAAAGTCGTAAATTGTGGCTGCTATGTGGTTTTCCGGGGTGCTGATCACGAATATCGTATTAGTTTTGATCAGAGATGATGTCTTTAAGCATTTAGACCAGGTCGGGTCAGGTCAGGTCAGGTCAACCGGTAGGGGTTGTGACGGGTATTCGTAATACGTGTCAACCGCCTCTGACAGCTTCGTAACATGTTACGAAGGCGCCAAAACTACTTCGTAAATGTTCAAATGGTTGCTAAATTGGAATTCAGCTCCAAAAACTAGCATAGAAACATGTAAAACTCGAAAAAGTGAACCGAGGTCACCCGAGGTCACCAAAGGTCAATGACCTGACCTGACCTTCAGGTGACCTTGACACCCATCCTAATGTATGGTTGCAACATCAAATCACATGTTTGAAAGTTTGAAACCACGAAAAGCTTGCAAACGCGCGGCTAGTGCGAGCCGACATACGCCGAATCGCGATTTCGGCCAAACATGGTCACGGAAAAGAGGTCACAGGTCAAAGGTCATTGGGGTCAGGGTCATGAAATTTTCAGGGTAGGTGTAAAAATGATCAATGCGAGGGTACTGAAAGTTTCGTCGCGATCGGCCGCTTTTTACGCGAGTTATTCGCGAAAAACCTTAGGGGGGTTGCATCAACCCCCCCCTGTGCCGGCGAGGGTTAAGGTGTTAACCTCGGGTCAAGGTCAGGTCGGAGCCCCTCAGGTCACGAAAATGATTGAAGGAGGTCATATCGCATATCATTCGATTCGGCAGGTCTTCCTGAGTCCAATGGTGGTTTTTCCGACTCTCTAGCTCCATCTGATCAGGAGTTATTGACGAAAAACTTACATGGCCTTAGTGACGTCATAAATGACGTCACGCAAAGTCAACAATGCTTAAGTCAAGCACTGGACCTTGCAAGGAGTGCATGAAACCATTCCCGGTGCCCGAATAGCAGCTCCCAATTTCCCTTGTTGACTTAAAGTGGTGCTAGATCCTGTATTATACTCAATTATGACGTCATAACTTAACAGATTCACGTCATATATTTAGTGCTTGACATCCAAATGATAGCTTACATATGACAGAGAAGGTATGCAAAGTTTTATGAAGTTTGCTTCACTAGTTGTGGAATAACAAGCAAAAAACTTTTGCGGAAAGGCCGCTGGCCTCTCGCTGGAGCGTTTCCGACCAGTGTGCAGTGGTGCGCGGCGCGACACACAGCCAGCTGCCGGGAGGACCGGGCGCTGGTCCCCAGTGTCGGACTGTCTGTCTCGTGTCTGGTCCCCACGCCGGACCGTTGGTCTCGTGTCGGACCAGCCGGTCCCCGACTGGTGTTACACCGGAGTGTCGTGCGGCTGTGAGTGGGGGGTTGATCGGCTGTGGTCTGCGGTGGAGAGAGAAGGCGCCACGCAGGAGACTGATTGGCACGGTTGAGCGACGTCTGTGGTCCCAGATTGCCGTGGCGGCCTGGTGCGTGTGGTGGCAGTTGGACCCAGTGGATTGGCCTCTCGACCTAGCCAGCGCAAAGAGATCGACTCACATTTGCTCGTATGTGACTTGCCAAGCAGCGTGACGCACAGGAGAAAAGACTGAGAAAATCCGGTCGATCGATCGCTCGCGCTAGCCCCGCGACCTTGAACTGACAGTGATAATGTGGCCGGACTTTTGTTGTCTGTTCGCCGTGTGCTGGGTGGCCGTCTACATCTTCACCATTATCTACTTCTGGGTGGTGATTGGCTACCGAAGTCACGTGCAGATTCGCGACGTGGCTGACCGGCTACCTTAGCACGATAGCCATGGCGACTTGCCTCTAGCAGCTATATATGGTAATTGTCTTCACATCCAACAAGGTTTGTTCCTTTATCACGTGACTCCTTTAAGATCAACGCTTGTAACGCTACGAAGCATTTTGTGTCTGAGCCTCATGTTTTTGCGATTTTCCAATACCCGTCCATCCGTAGATAACAACACAATAGAAAACAGTTCCAGTTAGAGTAAGAGCTAATTAGAGTGAACGTTTTCTGCCTGACTGGGATTCGAGCGAGTTTTTAGAGCTGAAGAGAGAAGAGCTTTACACCAATTATTCCAATTTCCAATCGCTGGTCTGCAGAAACCCCATCGAAGCGGCAGCACCGGAGCTAACACCTTATTATTGACTGCCATCTTTATGTTGCATTGTTAACTTGTGTGAAGTGCGCGAGAAGTTGCGATGGGATATCTAAAATGTTTTTTAAACTTCTCGGAGACGCCAAGGCCTGCTCAATATCACGAAGCTGTAGGTACTAGGAAGGCGTGTGTTTTGCCTGCATCCCTCCAAGCCGTGCACCCGGTGTTCTTTGGACTCGTTTATTGGACACGTAGCGTTGCTGGAACGCCGCTCCTTAGATGATAACGAGGTTGCAAATAGCAAATAAACAACTAAATCGTAATGCACCGGTCCGCTATAGAATTACAACCCCTGGTTCGAAAAAATCCGGACTGATTTCGCGCTTGGATGCCTAGCAAAAAGGATCTGACGCAACGAGAGGCGTGATTGTGTGATGATCAAAGCTATTTATCCCCCTATGGCCTAGCCGGATCTGTATGCCTTTAATTTTGGTTCCATTATTATCCTTCCAGCAGGCCTATTGACTCCTACGCAATGAGTTATTTATCTTCTCCGTAATGGGCAATCGCGAGAGGCTGATCTGGAACAGGCGGGAGCATGAAACGGTGTAGGAGACGGACGTCACCGGGGTTGGAATCTGCCCCCACCCTCACCCCAAATTGACGCCTTACCAGTCCCTATCGCCCCCGAAATGACGCTTTATCAACCCCACCCGACCCTGAGCTTACGCCTTACCAGCCTCTTCGACCCTTAGCCGAACTTGATCAGCATTTTCCGAACCCCAAACGAAGTCTCACCAGCTGCGGTATCAGAAACGCTGCGTTTTTTTTTTATTAATAGTTGTCCCATGATCAAACTAATGGGAATGCCATTCGTAAAGAGACTAGAAGAGTGTCTCGGAAAGACGACCATACGGGGAGCATTCCGGTCTAGGGGTAAGTTACTTGCCTCTAGATTCGGCCATCTGGGTTCGATTCCCGGGCAATGCACGTGGCATTGCCGCTACCCGACCGCTTGGAACAGCGTGAGAGTTCCGGTTAGCGCCTTGGTCCACTGGATGTGGTGCTTAACCCAAACCAACCCAAGACGAGCCTAGATATCACGTTTTGTCATAAGTAGATCTGCAGAAGGCAGACCTATGTAGGTCCAATCAAATCTCGGCATTTCAAGAACCTTCATGAGATTGAAAAAGTGATGCCAAAAATATACTGGCTAGTGCAAACGACACAGCGTATAGCTACAAATGACTGCCAGTAGATTGGCACTCATATTATATATCTACAAGCCCCACACTAATACCCGCCCCGCTCTCCCCGGCCGGCAGGTGCCCATCATCAAGCTGACGGATCGCCGCTCACAGATCAAGGTGGATATCAGCTTCAACATGACCAACGGCCTGGTGTCTGCCAACCGGATCAAACAGCTGGTGGCAGAGTTCCCGCACATGTCGCGCCTGGTGATGGTGCTCAAACAGTTCCTGCTGCAGCGAGAGCTGAACGAGGTGTTTACCGGCGGCGTCAGCTCGTACGCCGTCATCCTGATGGTGGTCAGCTTCCTGCAGGTTAGGAGTGGGAGAGAGGGAGAGAGGGAGCTGGGAAAGAGTAGAGGAGGACGCGGGACGGTCTCTTCCTGTTAGTCAGAGGGAGGAGCGAGCTCTCCCGCCGGTCTGATAGAGCAGACGGGGTAGAAGATAGTGGAAAGAATGGTTAGTTTTCTACAGGTTTATGGGAGGGAAAAAGAGGGAAATGGAGGCTGGAAAAGGAGGAGTACAGACTTGCAACATGTCGAATATCGATGTTTATGATATAAAAGCACGTTGTCAATCTCCAGTGCACCAACAAATGGTGAAGGGATGCGTTTATGAGAAGTAACTACTAAGTCAATGACAGGAATAATTAATGAGTTGCTAATTGGTAGCCGGACGGGAGGAAGCAGTGATCACTGCGTCCGGCCCAGCCAATGCCCGGCGCTGCCCCCGCTGCGGAGGGCACGTGTGCACCCCACACGCGGCTGTGTGGCTGGTACTGTCCCGACCCGGCAGAGCGTGGTCGACCCGGACCGGGAGCTGTTCACGCGGCGCAGTGCTCCACCGCTAATCACCCTAAGGCCCTCGTTAGTGAACCACGGCGGCAGGAAACATAAGCGCACGGTGGCAGGAAACAGAAGCGCACGGTTTCGATCGTGCTTATCTCGGACGCCGACCGAACCGTCAGTGTTTCGGCACAGCGCGGCCGGATGTCTGGCGCGTTCAATACCGGAGCGGGAGGCGACCGCCGCTGTCAGCACCTCTCGACTCGTCCTCTTTGAGTGGGCTCATCACCTGATGGTCCACTGGTCGGGTGACGCTGATATGGTCTGATGTAACCTGGTCTGATCGGGCGACCGATATCAGCGTCTCTGCTGGTGGGGCGTTCCACGACAAATCGACAAATAGAAAATTAAATTTGCACCCTCATATTTTATTCTTCGATGAAAACTGGTGTAAGGGGTTGTGATGGGCGGGGAAGCCAGCTGTGGCAAGGATTTTTTTCTACGAACAACGGTTTCCGAGATATAGCCTCGGGCAATTCCTGGAGTTCGCGCTGCAGCCCTATGTTTGGCGGCCTATAACTCAGAAACTATTGGTTTTTTACGATAAAAACTTTATATGGTTCAACACACAATCAACCAACAAACATTTTGGCTATATCGGATTTTCAATTTTTGAAAATTTTGATCACGTGACCTTTTGTACTATTTTTAGAAGAGTGACCTTGATATTTTCCCCACTGAAAGTTGCAATTTTGTCTGATGACGATTAAAGCCCTATCAATTTTCATTCATATGCGATAATAAAAAAGTGGTTATCGCCCTTCGCTGACCTCAGGTCAGGTCATTTTTATGACCTGTCCATTATTACGAGCGGGAGCGACAGCGAGATCTCGAGAATAAAGCAAGATAGCGACAAGCGGTAAACGGTAAAGGGTACACACGGATAAGGTCTATAATTTTTACAGAGGTCATTTTCAGGTCAGGTCAAAGATGACGTCACAGGAGCTAAAAGGAAGTCAAAATAGCGGCACTATACATATATATGAAGTTTTTCTCGAATAACTTTCAAGGCATCCCAGCTAGGAACAAACTAATAGCACCATCGTGATCCTCTCGTCGATCCGCATCGAAACATATGTATGTTGACCTCGAAAGGTCGAAAGGTCAAAAGTTGACCTTAGATCACGTGACCTAAGGTCAACTTTTGACCTTTCGACCTTTCGAGGTTAACATGCATATGTTTCGATGCGGATCGACGAGAGGATCACGATGGTGCTATTAGTTTGTTCCTAGCTGGGATGTCTTGAAAGTTATTCGAGAAAAACTTCATATATATGTATAGTGCCGCTATTTTGACTTCCTTTTAGCTCCTGTGACGTCATCTTTGACCTGACCTGAAAATGACCTCGGTAAAAATTATAGACCTTATCCGTGTGTACCCTTTACCGTTTACCGCTTGTCGCTATCTTGCTTTATTCTCGAGATCTCGGTGTCGCTCCCGCTCGTAATAATGGACAGGTCATAAAAATGACCTGACCTGAGGTCAACGCAGGGCGATAAGCACTTTTTTTACTATCGCATATGAATGACAATTGATAAGGCTTTAATCGTCATCAGACAAAATTGCAACTTTCAGTGGGGAAAATATCAAAGTCACTCTTCGAAAAATAGGACAAAAGGTCACGTGATCAAAATTTTCAAAAATTGAAAATCCGATATAGCCAAAATTTATGTTGGTTGATTGTGAGTTGAACCATATAAGATTTTTATCGTAAAAAACAATAGTTTCTGAGTTATAGGCCGCCAAACATAGGGCTGCAGCGCGAACTCCAGGAATTGCCCGAGGCTATATCTCGGAAACCGTTGTTCGAAGAAAAAAATCCTTGACACAGCTGGCTTCCCCGCCCATCACAACCCATTAGACCAATTTTAAGCAAAAAATAAAATATGAGGGTGCAGGGCACTTGTCGATTTGTCGTGGAACGCCCCTGGTGCTGGATGGTGAGCTGGTGCTGATACTGATCACTGATCGTGGTGCTGGTGCCTGGTATCAAGGTTGATGCTGGTGCCGGTGCTGAGGTTGGTGCCGATGCTGGTGCTGGTGCTGTCGTTGGTGAGGGGGGCCTGGTACGTTTTAGTGGCTCCCAGTACCCAGTCGATACCGGCCGTGTGGTGCTATACAGTGCACCAGTCTGTCCGTTACATAGTCGTTCAGTACGGCGACTATGTGCTTGGTCATAGCCGTATTTTACTCATTCTACAAACTTTTAGTTCAGTCCGGCATGCGATTTTTCAATTGTAGCGGGACGGAGCCGGAGGACACTCAGAGTCAGGACATCACTACCTATGCTATTCAGTATCCCTGGTCCCATCGCCATAACAACAGATATAACAACACTCACGTCTTGATGCCTTATTCTCGGCGCCAATGTGTTCTGATTCTTAAAAACCGAGGTGTTCCGGACAATATGCATTCCTTGCTTTAAGCGTGATTATGTGATTGCCCGTTTCCTGCATTGCCCTTCAATAGGGCTACCCGGTACCAGCTTTTACACGAACGCGAGGTATGACGATAATCTTCAATTGAGAAATTGTGAATCGAGATGTAGCGATTATTTCCATTGAGAACTTCTGAAGCATCATCAATTACATAGCTATGCCTGTCGGACATGCTTGGTATGATGTGTATACCGTTGTTCGGCACATCAATGCGTCTGTCCGTGAGCGCAGATGGCTCTGGCAGGACTGGCCTCTGCCTAGGGTTCGAGGTCATTTGGCCGACCCCGGCTGGGTCGCGACCGGGAGGAATTGGGCCAGCCCACCGGGACCAGGAGGGGGACTGAGCCACCCCACGGTGCTAAGATGGACGGGGTCATCCCATCGGCACCAAAGGCGATCGTTGTTCTGTGCATTGTTTTGATGAACGGCACGATAATCACGATTAGCGCCACTCAAACTGAACAGATTCCATCAAACTGTAAAGTAATAATCCCTTTTCTAGTTTATGGACATTTTTTAGAATCATGTGCGTAAAAACTCCACGATTTTTTATAGTGTGTACAAGCGCTGAAAATTCTGATGGGGTTTAGGAGATCATGTCAATGAAATCTGTCATTAAGCTTTTAACTTATCACTGCCCTGACATTTGCAAGAGCAGTTCATGTATGATGACCTGTAATGTATCTCGTTTATTTTTGCAAACCTGCTGAACCTAATAACGATACAAACATTATAAATTTTTCGGCCTGACATCCGTTACAGCCTATTTCCAGGCGGTCTACTGACGCATGTATGGAGTGCGTTCCTCTGAACCGCACCCCTCCCCCTCCCCCACAGACGCACGAGCGGCCCCTGGGGGCGTTTCCTGGCTGTAACCTGGGCGTTCTGCTCATCGAGTTTTTCGAGCTGTACGGTGTCAAGTTCAACTATCACGACACCTGCATCCGAGTGCGCGAGGGCGGGTACGCACCCCGCAGCGAGGTAAGGGAGAGCTCTGAAGCACGGGGCGTCAAGCCATGCCAGCTCGACGAATGGGGTCGAGAGTAACTGGAGAGCATTAATTTGCTGTGTGGTGACATCAAGGACCCCCCAGGTGTGTTGGTGGGGCTAATGCATTGTTTTGCGTGACTTCTCAGCCTTTTGGTTTAGATGAAAGTGCGTTGTTTTTGCCGTTGTGAAAGGCAGAGTTTTTGGATGCTTTCATGTTTATGCTAATAGATTAAGCGAATGGTTATTATGGTAACATTTCACCGCATCAAAAGAATAAATTTACATGTAAAATATAAAGACGTTCTAGTGCTGAAACCCGTTGGTAGATTTAGCCAGTAATTATTATGGTAACATTTCACCGCATCAAAAGAATAGATTTAGATGTAAAATATAAAGACGTTGTAGTGCTGGGACCCGTTGGGCTTGATTTGGAAACCATAGCCAAGGCATACATAGTCTAACGACAGAGTCTTACAGAGTCTAACGGCTCTAGATTCCGTGCCATGACTTTCAAATATATGTCATGTTGTATGTATCCTCTCTGACACCGTCTTTTATGTCTCTTTCTCCCTCTCCGCTGTTCTTGGCGCACAGGTGGAGGATCAGTTCATCGGCCAGTCGGCTCACAGCTCGCCGCTCTGTATAGAGGACCCGCACAACCCGTCCAACGACATCGGCCGCTCCTCTTACCACGTGATGAAGGTCAAGGAGGCGTTCCGCTACGCCTACCACCGACTGCGTTTTGCCGTCCTGGGCAGGGACAGCGACCCGAACCGGGCCAGGTGAGTGTGGGGCGCGGCTACCCGCCCCGACCGGCCGGGTGAGGGAGAGGGTGGGGTGCGATGTATCATGCGCTGTTCGGTCTATGGGTGTGTGCAGGGGATTGGGAGAGTCGTGGGCTATTTCTGGAGAGGCAATCTTGGTGATTTTGATAGTGATCATTTTCTGGTGCAATTTTTCACGAATGAGATATATGGACACACTCAGATAAGTCACTGAATTTTTATTTTCAGCTATCTATGTTATTTAATTATTGAATAGCACGAAGACGTCACCGTTGTGATTCTAGACTTAGAAAAGACTTCTTTGCTGGCGTAGACATTTATGAGCGGTCCATCACTGCGTGCCTAAATATCTGCCACATCCACTAAGGTCCATCCCCCACTAAGTGACGGTATTGTCGGACAACGAACTGACCGTATGGCCGCTCAACTGACGGTCTGCTCTGCCTTGCAGCATCCTGGGCCGTGTGGTTACCGTACCGGATGAGGTGGGCGCCTACCGCCGCTGGGTAGCTGTCAAATTCCCCTCCCCGGACCCGCCCGGACGGGAGCCCACCCCGGAGCCGGAGCCGGAGTCGGAACCGGAGGAGCTGTCGGACGACCAGGTATGGACGGCGGCGGGAGGGAGAAGGGGGAGGGTAAAGGATGAAATAGACTCTTTCCGCAGTCAGTTAGGAAATCGCATGCGAGAACCTATTCAAATACATTATAATCCTTCCGGCATCAATTGCATGCGGGAGGTGCGTACGATTGATGCGAGCGTGAACTAATATTTGAAAAGGCTCTCGCATGCGATTTCCTGACTGCGGAAAGAGTCCGTTTCAGCCTTAGATGGAGGATGAATCATTTTATCCTTCTATAACATGCTTTTTTATTTGTCCGCTGGTGGTCTACCACATTAATTGAGAATGTGTAGGGATGAAACAATTCAACAAGTTTTTAAAGACTGTTAGTTCCATCTGTATGTGATTTGAAATGTTTTCCCTTGGTAAAATCATATGTTTAATTTCATTACTTGATTTAAATATTGTTATGTAGCTCCCACTGCGTTTCATCACCGTTCTTCGTTACAACCTGAAGCCGCTCACGCCCTACCTCACTCCCCATTGTCACGACTCATCTCTCGCCCACAGTCTGAGCCCACCACTCACCTGAACGGCCGGACAGCCGACCCGGCAGCCGACATAGATCCTCCCTTCACTCCCAACGGAAAGGCGCTGGCCAACAAGGCTTGGTGGACACCCGCCTGCGCTGAGGCCGTCAAAGCCAGGGGGAAGGCCAAGAAGGCGTTCAGGCGATACGGGACCCCTGAAGCCACGGCGGTGTTCAAAAGGGCGCGTATGCACGCCAAACGCGTGCTAAAGGAGGCGAAGGAAGCTTTCGGCGGCGCGTCTGTGAGTCCAGGGTGATTTGGGAGTCTAGGGCAGTGCGGGTTTTGTATGGACGTGACGTCCATAGTGAACTTTTGATGCCTCTATCCTTTGAACAATGTCCTATCAAGATCAGATATAGGGTGATTGCGGCAAGTGCAAATCAGACGTTTTCGGTCACTTTCTCTCTATTTAGCATATTATTCAGGCTTTTGATAATTTAGATGCTCGCTCTTGCTTGCAGCGAGCATTGCCCTCATTTGTGTTGCCTTGGTCTTGTGCCCCACACATTGATCCTGTCGCTCCTAAACGCAAATCATCAATCATCTAAGTCATCACTGATGTGTCCACCAACCATTGTTTTTTCTGTCCCCGCAGAGCATCAAAAAGGTGGCCGACGGGGAACGGATCACCCCCACGCGGTGACCCGAGGATCGACTAGGCGCCATCTGTGCTTCGTGACGTGACCTGGTGGCAATGGTAGCGGCACCTGTGCTCCGTGACTAGCGACACTAGCGGAATCTGTGCGCTCCTCGCAGTGACTGTAATGTGTCACACTGCCGTGACTATAATGTGTCCTGTCGTGGCAATTGGGGAAGAGATAGGTGTCCTCTGGCGAGTTGATGGCTACTTCTCAGGACTTGTGAACACTCGTGCCTTCCGATGCTGACCAGTGTTCGTCATGTTGCAGATATTTATGTCGTGTGTCTCCAGTGTTTATGCCGTACCAGTGTCTGTTTTTGTCTGATGAAATTTGACATGCATCTCGTCCGATGTCTAGGGTTATGTCTGTCTTATCATTGATAAGAGTATGTGACATTGGACTGACATGGACGAAAGGTCTGAGCGCTTACGAGGTGGGATTGACATGAAGTGTGTTGTTGACGTCAACGCAATATATAAAACAATGCTGAGATCTTTGGATTTGCTCTGAAATGCTGAATATTTCGGATAGGTGCGACTTTTTGTCTTTGTGTCACGTGTTTAAGTGTTTAGCCTTATTCATGACGCTAAACTTCATGATACATTCTACCGTTGGTTATTTGAACGCTTATTGTCAGTCAAGTTCAGAAGTGAGCAATCATTTCAAAACATTTATGCCTATTTCTGATATAATGAAAGCCTTCTGCATGTTATGTCTCATTTTCCGCTTTCATTTCTTTTATTTTGCTCAGTTTCTTATCTCTTCTTGTGCTTGCGGTGAAAACATAAGTATTCGTTTATCCCTTTGCTATTGCTGCTGTTTCTTATTCGATAATAAGGTGCGGTTTTGAGTAGGGTTATCGGGACTGACAGCTTTGAAACATTACGGAGCGCACATGCAGCCAGGCGCGCACACAGGATTTTTGAATGGGGGGGGGGCACGACCTTCGAACTGGGCCCCCCATGCCGAAGGGCCCCCCCCCCCAAAAAAAAAATACGGCCCACGGGGCTATATTTCGGTTGGTTTGAAGCTTGAGCAATTGGTTTGTCAATGCATGGTAGGTAAAACAATTATTTCGGTACCAGCTTAACCCTCGCCCGTAAACAGCGATCTGCCACCTTCGCCCATGCAGGGGGGGGGGGGTTGGTGCGACCCCCCCTAGGGTGGTCCACATCTACATGGTAAAAAATAAAGTTCGTCGGATTCATCGGGCCGGGTCAGAATTCTTGTCGATACTATAGCACAAGCTTTTGTGCAAAATTTCATTAAGATCGGATGATTTTTTCCCGTCCCGCAAAGCGATCAAAGTTTCCAATATACGTACCAGTCTTTAGTATAGGGCGAATATTCGTCTTTCAACATTGCCCAGTCGTGCCAGCGGCTATCTACCAATGAGCTTGTCTGCTCATCGCACCAGCCCTCTCTAGCCTTCTCAATGATAGATCTAGTCTTCCTATCAGCCACAGACAGGAACAATAATCCACAATTCCTGTTGCATTTCCTGTTCTCCAGTGCCAGTAGCAAGCCACTATATGCCAGGAGGTGAGATATGCATTACCGGCTAACTGTGGCTTCGCCTGCGTTTGGGATCGCCGCTGCAGCTGCAAGAGGCACACGCTCAATCACCGAAATGTGGCTTGTTTTGGCAGCCAAAAAAGCAAATCCTTGCTGGATGAAACAGTCTCAATACGAACGAGCAAGTGCAGGGCGCCTCTTTCACTTGGCACTCATCATCCGTCTTCCGGCCCCGGGCTCCCGAGATCCCGTCGTTCAAGTGATTTGTAAAGTGGTGGCAGCTCACGTAACGAGTGTCGTTCAAACCGCTCAATTACTTAATCGATTTCGCCGACAAGATGATTGTCACCTGATGCGCGTTGCTGATGAAGCAGCGGCCCCGGGATGACTGCCGCGATGTGGTGCAGTTCACCATCGTCGTGATGGACGGTGATTTTGAGGCCAGCATCCGGAACCGGTTGCCTTACAACGTGGTCGTTGGATTGCAAAGGTGATGAACACACTCAAGATCATTCTCTTCTGCCAGCTCGCGCTCACCGAGCACGAGAAGAGGACGATGGTCCGGTTCACCACCTTAATCGTCACAAGGTAGGTGGCATCGTGACTGTCTGCCCATTGATCGACCTCAGCATGGGGAACTGACATCGCCCTCTCCAAAGGCCCTCGCCGCTTACCACACGGATATCGGAAGGTAACCGAGAAAGGTGATAGGCAAGGTCTCAAGGCCATCGGTCTCCTTCTTCGGCGTCGGGACGGCGGTCGAGGAAAAGCAGGCGATTGCCACCTCCATGCAGCAGCGGCTAAGATGGAAGAACCCTCCCGCGTCGACGTCGCCCTCGACGCAGTGGAGCGGCGCTCGCTGGCGGCCTTTGCAGTTTGCATATGTTGGTCTCGGCACCGCCCTCGGGGCCAGTCACGATGTCCTCAAAGTGGACCCGGCCGAAGGGTCGCACAATGACGACTTGACCACTGCTTGTCGGCGACCCGGGCCGACACATATACGGGTAGTAAACGACTTTGCAGGAGCCGGGTGCTGCACCGTTGCCCTCATCAGCGGCAAATTTTTAGCGCCATCGCGCACGGCAAGGAACAGATGACAGCACTTCCTTCAGGTCGAGGAGCGTAACTACACTGGACGTTGCATCCGGGCGGGAGATTGGTTTAGGATGGCTCGCACGGTGGACCTCGTCTTTTAATCTGTACCGATATGCTATTTTCACTAATGCCTATTCCACTCTGATGTGTTTCTGTCCTTTGCTGTTCTTATTTAGTGACTACCAGTGCGTATTGAGCAAAAAATGTGAACTGAGTGGGAGAATCCGTATAATCCCCTTATTGTTAATATAGGGAAAACTTTGGCCGCTTTGCGGGACGGCATAAATTTATCCGATCAGAATGAAATTTTGCACACAACATTGTGTCATGGTATCGACAAGAATTCCGACCCGGCCCGGCGGATCCTAGAAACTTTTTCAAAATGGACCACCCTACCCCCCCCCCTCCTTGGCGTTTGAAAACGGAGCGTCGTAGAGCTTAGCGGAAAAGACCAACGGATTGCTCTCGCCGAGATCTCGCGATTGGTGGTATATTTTTTGGTCCTAGGTCAACATTTGACCTACTTTTGACCGGTCAAAGGTCAAATTTTCGGAAAATAGACTTTTTCAAATTTTCCGCGGCGATTGCGGCAAAACGGTGGGAGATATCGACTTGAAACCTTCACTATCGTGTTCCTTGATCAATTCTCTATCGTTTGGTATGTATTTCGTTTCCCTAGCTCTAAAAATGGCGCGTTGGGAGCGCCGGAAGTCGGCAAGGTCACAGTCGGCGGCAGAAATTCGAAAAATCAAAATTTAAATTTTTGAAATCTGATTGTATTTTTGGATTTGGGATGTCCATTTGCTCCCTATAGAAGCTAATATTGCTGCATATTCCCATTGAGGTGACAAGAATAAGCAAAATAGTGGTTCGGGCGCTTTTCAAAAATAGTACCGGACGCTGTTCCTCTTGTGACGTCATAGCTCCGTAACCTGACCTGACCCGGTCACGTTTCTTATACCATATGATAGCCAATACTTGTCCCAACATGCATGGGAAGTTTCATCACGATCCATCAACCGATGTTCGTACCACCGGCAGGAAACCTCGGGCGTTGGCACTCAGTTTGTGAAAATCCGGCCGGAGGCTGTTCCCTTTGTGACGTCATAACTCCGTGACCTGACATGACCCGGTCAATTTTTTTTATCAAAAGATGCGCAAGGTTTGCCCCATAAGGTACCCAAAATTTGGCGGCGCTGCGCGCCGCCGTTTTTGCACTATTTCCGAAAAACCTCAGGGGTGGGGGGGGGGTTGCACCCCCCCCCCTACATGGGCGAGGGTTAATTTTCAAAACATATATATTTTCACGCTTAGCATGTTTTTTTAGCATGTTTTTTTTTTCGCGGACCCCGGGCCCGCGAGTCACCCAGTGGCCCGGGGTCAGCTCAGGCAAGGATGTATCCAGGACCTTTCGATGGGAGGAGGAAGGCACGGTGGGTCCAGTCTCACTGGCAGACGGGTCTCTTTAAAACGGTCTTTGCATGAGAAAATGTGGAAAATCGGCAAGCAAAAGTATCATTTATGCCCGAGGAGTGTGCCTAATGTACACTAATGCCTAATTTACATGGTATTTTACGAGCGAGCGAAGCGAGCGAGCTCCTCAGAGTCACCGGTGTGTGGCGCGCTCAGAGGTGCCAGTGAAAGGCCGTCAGATGCGCTGGTGTTGGGTCCTCACAGGCGCCGTTGCGGGGTCTTGGGGCTTAGAGACACTGGTGGGGCCATCATTGGCATGTGTGTGGCCCTGCAAAATGGCCTGCAAGTGGAAAGTGGCCCGTCATAGGCTGGCAAAGACACTCGGAGGCTGGTAAGAGGCCCTCAGAGTCACTGGTACGTGGCCCTCAGAGGCGTCGGTGTGGGGACTCTCAGAGCCGCCGATGTAGGCCCTTAAGATGCGCTGGTGGGGGTCCCTTGGAGGTGGGGCGAGGGGCCTCGCAGTTGCCGTTGTGGGTGCCTTTAGAAACACTGGTGTGGACCGTGTGTCTATCACAGACGGATGTGGAGCCATAGCAGCCAATCCCTCGTTGGCCGTTACTAGGGCCCTGAGCGGCCGGCGAGGTCTCTCAGAAACCGGCATTGGGCCTTTATGAAGATAATTGTGGCTACATAGGAGCCAATAACGTGCCCCCACAAGCCCTGTGGTGTCCTTCCGAGTTGAAGTGCGGCCAGCGCGAACCCTCTGCTACCAACTGGCGCCGCAGGGTCCCTCGGTTTTGAAGGAACCCTAAACCCGAGAACGGGCACGTACCCCCTCGCTCCCTTGCTATGTCACTGAATCCAAGTGATTAGGGGCCCTTTAGGTAATCAGAGGCGTTTCAGATGACCAGGGGTTTTCAATTGATCAGGGGCCCACCAGGTAACCATGGGCCCCTCTGGTAACCAGGCGTTAAGTAACGAGGAACTCCATCAATAACCAGGGCCCCTCAGTAAACGGGGGCCACTCAGGTAAGTGTAGGAGTCCCGCAGAAGGGCCGGCAAGGTTTCTCAGGTCCGTTTTTTGACAAGGCTCTTATTGACTCAGGTGCGAGCCCTTTGCCATCAGCAGGGGGCCCTTTCAAGCCTTTTGAGGGCCGTTTAACGTCTCTTGAGTTCCCATTGAGGCCTTCTAAGGGCCCTTTGAGCAGTCGAGGGGCCTTTGAGGCCTTTTGAGGGCCTCTTGACGTCAGCTGAGGACCGTTGGACGCCAGCTGAGGATCGTGTTTTTGGGCCTTCTGATGGCCATTAGACGCCAATGGATGACCCTCTGACACCAACTGGGGCCCTCTGACACCAGCTAAGGGCCCTTTGACACCAGATGAGGGCCCTATGACGCTAACTGAGGGCCCTTCGAGGCCATCTGAGGGCCTTTTGAGACCATCTGAGGGCCCTTTAAGGCCATTTGAGGGCCCTTTGTACACGGTCTTCGGTGGTCTAAGGATTAGTTAGAGGCCCATTTGAGGCGGCCTTCGGCCGCCTCAAATGGGCCCCTTCCTTCGAGTTGGGCCCCCCAACTCGAATGGGGGGGGGGGGCACGGGCCCGTGTGCCCCCCCCCTTGTGTGCGCCCTTGCATGCAGCCATCCTTAACTGTGGACATGGCCATGGTAGTTGTGTCGATATAAATATGCCTATTGTAAGTGACCTTTAACGATGCTTCTGACAGTGAAGAAGTGCCGATAATAAAGGGGTGCGACCTTTTCATAAGTTAACACGCAATTCTTTGTGACGTTGCGACACTTTCTCCTGGCATTTTCCACCCGGGCGAGGTTTCCCTTTCCGTTGTCTTCCGGGCCGATTGATCGGCCTTCGTTGGGCGTCTGCGACTGTCCTGCGAGCCCGTACAACTGAGTCGCGAAGACCCGCGGCGCTCTGTTTTGTTGCTCGTCTCGGGGTCGCCGCGGTGGGGCGATGTCCGCCTCTGACGGGCTCATGTAACCAACTGACCTTGACCGCCAACGGCGCAGAGCGCTACTTACATAAGGAGCCTGCGTAACCACGCGTCTGAGGCTGTGTGAGTCGCAATAACCGCATGTGACCGCTGTGAGCCGACAGCTGCGCTGTCTACCGCAGAGGGCTCTGGACGCTGCTGTATTTACATTATTTTCGGTGCTTATGGCTACTGGAAAGAATGGCGCAGCTGGGTGAAGGGCCATCACTTTGTTACTGCCCTGGCCCCTGAACTTCATGAAAAATGCACGATCTCTTCACACCACATGGAGACTACGCGCCTCGCACCCAGAATGTGGACACGTGTACTGTGCATGCACAATTTCAGTGTTTGCTTGGTCGTAAATTAGTAAACAGTCCATCGGCTTCATGGGGGGGGGGGATGGAGGGATGCACTCTCTGTGTGTTACATTCAGTAACTGCTCATAGTTAACTGTCTGGTGGTTATAAGTAATGGAGTTTTGCTTGAAATCAAGACTGACTGTGATACCCGGGGACTCTATAGTTACCATAGTAACCTTACGTGCTCGGCGCTACCATGACGACATAATATAAGCGAATTATAACCCGTCATTGTCATTATGATTTATGACCCAATAACCAAGCCGAGTGTGTCAGGATAACTATTCACAATTATTTGCTCCTTATCTTTGCTTTTCAGAGACGATCTGTTTGCGCACTTCGGGCTATAAGACATACCTACACGGTTAGGAATTAGGATGCGTTTGAACACAATTTAGCACACAATAATAAAATGAGTGGATGTTGTACCTACATTACGGACTGGTGAGACGCATACCGCATAAGTCATGAATCGAAAAGACGACGCGCCGAGACGCCTCGGATGTGATGCGGCGCAGCATACCTTCAGGCGCCGCGCGTGCTGTCATCTATGGCGTCAGTATTATCGCGAGTCCTCAGATGTAGTGCGGTGCAGCATATCTTCAGGCGCTACGTGTGGTGCCATCTAGCGTCAATATTATCGTGTTTCCCCGGGTGTGAGGCGGTGCAGCATACCTGCAGGCGCTACGTGTGCTGCCATCTAACGTCAATATTGTCGTGATTCATCAGACCTGTGTAATGCGGTACGGCATACCTTCAGGCGACGCGCCAGCTTGGAACGAAGGGATGGGCGACGTCCCTTACTTTGCCGAAGCAGAAATTTCATTGATAGCTAGTGGAGCACCGTAGAAAGACACATGAATAAGGGCTTCAAAATTTTGCTAATTTAAGACTTGTAAAATGCATCACACAGTGATAACTTGCGTTACTGGGTAGGCCCGTAGGTAGTTATAGGTTACGATTACTTTTATATGCATTTCGGTGCATTGAAATATTATGATATTTAATGAGCATTGGAACATTACTGGAGTTAGTATAATGTTATGTTACTGGAATAAGTAATAGTTAGAATTATTATTGTATGAAGCGTAGCTATTATTGAAATCATTTACCATTGAAAAAGTAAGTTATACGTAACGTTGGGTGCTTATGGTGTTTATATCTTATGATATTTATAAATTGAGCTCTTCAAATGCCATTATTGTAATCAGGCACTACAATAACTTCAAAAGACATCCAAAGGGCAGTGCCAGGGGCGTAGAGCAGCATAGTGGGAGAGCTGTGGGGACTCCAGGCTTCCCGAGTGAGTCGGCCCAGCCGTTCTCGAAATGTGGAGGCGATCATTGCATGTGCACACCTTCAGTAGCACTCCAACCTGATACATGAAAATGTATCATCCGACGGGTGTCCACCGAAAAAAGAGAAGTTGCGGCGACATCGGCCCAGAAGTTGCAGAATCATTTTATGGTAATATATACTTGATGTCTCTTAGTTTTTCACGTGACACGTGCAGTGTTGGTCACCCACATGCATCGAGAGCACTCCGAGTCCTGGTAGAAGGGATAGAACTAACCTATAACGGCATCGTTCGTCGACCAGCCCAGTGGTTTCTGAGGTATAATAAGCCTATTATAAGTGTGACCACGGACGGTCGCTGTGCCTCTCACTCTGGGAATTTTCCGTTGATCTGCGAAGAACTTTGCTCGCTGGTAACCATGCGCCATGATCTTTAAAACTTCAGTGAAGTCTTATAGTCGTAAAACTCTGCAGTGGTGACAGGTGACAGACGATTATAGGACGAGTCCGCGCGCCAGGATAAGATCCAGCTCGACAGTCACAGGAGAAAAGCTGGCAGCAGCTCAAGCATTACGAAACGGGTCTGGGTTTCGTGCTTCGTTATGGAAGCACGCTTGGAGATTAGAGCGCAAATCGGCACCGCAGCACACGTGCCAGTGCCCCTAATATATCGGTGTAGTTTCGGTGGGCGACGAGGACCTCAATTGATGACAAGTAAACCTAATCCTACAGTCGGCAACATGCGTTTGGTAATTAGATGCATTTGGTAAAAAGAACTGCGGACTTCGTCTGATCTAACAACATACATACATACTCTTAGCCAGTAGGTATGCTGTCGCGAGGCGATGGCGGAGAGGGTTCTGTCAGTTTAGCCCAGCGTGATTAGAGGCTGAACTACAGAGTACTGAGCACCGTAGTAGACTGATAATATAAGCCGGCTCAGCTTCGCAGTCGGCATGCCGCATATACTGTACCGCAGGGCAGCAACGTAGTGCGGTACAGCCTATACCCACTTCACCGGCCCTAGCGCGGCGGGAAGAACGCTTCAAACGGTAAGCGGGGCAAGGTCAATGTGGGATGCTGCCTGATGACACGAAGGACATTATGCTATAAGTGCGTAATAGCAGCTGTGCGTATGGCTTCCGTGGTAGATGCACGACACAAGTTGCGAACTGTACATTCTTTCGACAAACTTATCATGGGCAAATGTAGGAGCACGCCATTATACATAACTGGGATAATATTTGGTGGCTAGTGCCTGATTCTTTAGGGAGATGCCATTCCAAATGCACGAAAATGCACAAAATGTGTAAACTACCCAATATTTCTGCTGGCCTGGATCAGACACTGACACGACCTGCTTTAACTTTTAATAAAACGTCTGCTTCATGTCACTCGTAGACACACCTACGGCGAAATTCAGCCTCATAACCTCGTGCGTCACGTCCTAAAAACCGAACGCAACATTTCTCCGAATTGCGCGATAGTGTGGTGGTGTCCGACCTCAGCGGTGCCGGTGCAGCCTTACTGAGGTCACCGTAATCTCGTCAGGGGAGCAGCGGCGACGGGGCCACCTCAGGGGCTTCCCATTTGGCGATGTGGTGGGTCCGGCGGTCCCGGTCAGGACAGTGGCGGCGCGGCGGTGGCACGGACGGTGCGGAGGACGACCGCGGCAGAGATGTGGAGTGGCCCGATTTTGGCGTTGATTGGTGAGTGAGTGGTCGGTTTATATAGAGAGGAGGGCAGTGGCGAGGCGCTGGAGATACGGGGGCGGTCGATAGAGGCGGTGTCGTCCACTGGGTTCGGTGGATGTGGTGTTGAGTGGTGCTGAGTAGAGTGGCCCCGCTTTAGACGGGCGTGTTCGATTCCGCTGCCGTAAACCGCAGCTCAACTTTCTCTTGGATAGACGCATAAATTTTCCATGATGTACACAAACTGGGTTATATGGTTTTCTGAAAATGTACTAAAATCCAGGACTGAGTGTCCTTTCCCATCGGCCATCTACCCTACATGACTGAGTGCCCGCTCCCCTCTTCTATGTACATAGTGACCGAGTGTCCTCACCCTTCTCTCGCCACAGGACTTCTCCTATTCTCCCATAGGACTGATTACCCTCTCCCCTCTCCCCTACAGGACTGAGTGCCATCTCCGTTCCGGTGCTTGCTGCGCCTCTGCAGCCCCAGATCAGTGATGCACTCTGCTCGGGCGGCGCGCCTCGGCTGATATACGTCACTGATGTAGCGCTGATGTCTGCCCAACTGACGACGGCAGGATCATCGAATAGCACGCGCCGCCGAGTGTGCGCTGTTGATTTGGTGACCTGTTTGGATTGTCACCTGAAGCTAACCGTGCTGCCCAGTCAGCTGACCGGCTGCGAACACCGTGATCAGTGCAGGTAAGTGAGAGATCAACTCGAGTCATGGTGGGTCAGGTCAGGTTGGAAGAGTTGACAAAGACAGGACTAAAATAACGTAAAATAGTGAAACAACGGGAGTCTTTGATTACGAATATCATCGGACAGATAAAAATCGGGGAAGTTGCGATTAGTTTTGCATGTTGTGAAGTGCTCCGTAAAATGGGGAAACCCGAAATCGAGGGGAACTAGACGCATGTGTTAACCTTTCCACACAGCAAACCACGATCAAACCCTTTTACCGACTAAATCTCATGTGTCCCATCATTGGCATGACGGTAACTTATTGACAACGCCCACGCTTTACGCTTACCTTCCCCGGACTCCTGCTCCGACAGATGCCACCACCTGGAGATGCTGGAGCAGGGTCGCCAGTACGACCCCGGTCTCTCAGACTGCTCAGTGGCTGGAGGCCTATCAATGACCTCTGTGGGCCGTACTCTGGATATCCGGCTCTCCTTCCTAGAAACGCTCTCCGGCGAAGTTCTGTTCAGGGTGGAATCCAGAGGTGAGCTAGCTGATTTGATCCATTAGATACTGCCCTGTGAAGGTATTATTGCATTTGTAGTTAGTCTTGGTTGCCTTAGCTTGAGGCCACGGTTCAGTGCAATATTGATATGCAATGGCTGCTCTCCGTCAAATGCAATTACTTTATCTTTTAGAAACCATGACCGGTGGCAATACAATTCGAAGTGCCTTATCAGCTGACCACTCCCTCTGTGTACCATTTCTGACCACAGATTTCCCCGTCGATTTTCAGAGAACCGTTTCATCTTCTCGGATCCGTCCGAGGTGGTAGAGACGGCTCAGTTTCCGGTCGCCTACCCCGCCCACTATGTGGCCGAATACGTGATCAAACGTCCCGAGGTGCACTCCCACTCTGCCATCCTGTTGTCGTTTACCGACTACTTCGTCTCGCCTTGGTCTCTGCTGGAGGTAAATGGACTGGCTTGTGTCTGACTCCTCGCGGTCTCGGTTGTCTGTTTCATCTAATCTCTAATAAAGTCAGGCAGTTGTTGATGTCGTAGCCTGATTGAATTTCTTTTTTATTATGTTATGTGAGCGCTTACCGCCCTCCATCTCTCTATGACGTCCATGTTTCACTGTGTGACAGCACTCATTCACTGTGTACCGTCCTCTTGTGACCTCCTTCCGTCCTCAGTGAGCCTCCTCTCCGTACTTCCCTCCCTCCCTCCGTGCCATCCCTCTGTCCCTCTGTTACTTCCTCCGTCTCTCCGTGACGACCCTCCTTCCCTCTGTAATATTCCCTCCCCGTCAGTTGACAGACGACCGGGAGCAAAAGGTGGCCACCTACAGCGGTGACGTGTTCCGGCCACCCATCACCCTAACCAACTCGTCCTGGGTCACGCTGCGATTTCACGCCAACGGCAGGCCGGGCGCCGGCTTCCGCGCAAAGTTCGACTTCATACGTGAGTTTGACGGAACGGTCATCTGGGGGAACTTTTCAACTGCCGTGAAAGACGGTAAATTGGTTTTGGTTAATCTGGTATTTGTTTGCTTATATTTGGCGACGCAATTGTATTTTATTACATTTATTCGAAGCTTCGGAACAACTCCCAAGTTCACCAAAGAGAATTGCCCCCATGTTTAGGAGTGACAGAAAACCTGACAGCAAGATTTAAGGAGAAAATTTAGCACCTCGGCTTTCAGACCGAAGGAACGTCAGTTCTTTATATTATTTGTATCATCTACTCTCGAATGAAGTCGCTCGTGCATGTGTCTGCTTCTTGTAAGAAAATATTGTTGGCATCGAGGTAGTATATTGCACATTTTAAGTCATTAAGTGACTGATCTGTACTCTCTGGACTGCTGAAAAACGAGTTTTTTCTTCGTGGTGCTGTATTTCAACAAGTTCTTATATGAATCAATTTACCTTCACTCAAAACTGATAAGCTATTGAGTCTAGCATTTGGTAGGAAAGGTTTCGGCGCCTTGATACTGCGATGGTAGACTGTACCGCAGCACAGTCGTGCACGGCGGCGCAGTCTACTGCATGGCGACCACCGGAGTTGAGCTGGGAATTCAATGCTGTGCGATGGTGCATGCAATGCGCGGCTGTTGTCTGGAAGCATGAAACACTACCAGCAGGGTATCGGGACACGTTTATGTCGAGCTAGAGATTGAGTGAATTGAGATTGGACTGGAAAGAAATGGATTGGATGGAAAGATATGCGACATGCGTATATTCGCTAACAGTAGCCACTAGTTTTGTTATCAGAGAGTGCCGAACGTATCTGCACTCTGTCCCTTAAACCCCTAACAAACAAACAAAAATAATCATAATCATGTTTTCTTACCATATTGCTGATGAAATTTCCCAACATTCCCCGTTTCAGCTCCGTCTGAGACGGGCGCGCTGCCGTCTCCGCCGCGCACGGACTGCGGCGGGGTGGTGGTCAGCGCCGGTGGGGCCATCACCATGCTCAACATGACCTCGTCTGGCACGGTCTGGTTCGACTGTGTGTGGCTAGTGCGCTCTCGACTGCCAGCCGGACACGCTGGCAAACTGTCACTGCGGCTCCTCGCCTTCCGCGACTTCGGTGAGTGATATGACAGACAGGTGACGACTTTCGTGTGAGTTCAAAGTTGTTATGTTTGAAAACAATCAAAAGGACAACGGTTGAATTAACATATGAATAATTGCGTAGCACTACCTGCGGACTGCTCTTGGGGTCGGTGGGTTTGTGGACGTAAGGGGCATCAGGAGGAGTCAGGGTGCCTTTAAGCATACCCTGGTAAATGGAGATGGACTGCGACTTCCGAGTGAAGTTTGAGACTCCAGAACGATAAGTGTAGCTTTCTGCGAATCTCTGACGATGTTTTGGAAAGTGGGTTTTAGTGTCAGTCTACGGCTTTACGCATTTCAGCAAGAATCTTTCCGGATTTATCCGGTCTCTGTTGATTTATTCCTCTTTCTTTCAGCGCCGGGAAGTCAGCTGAGAATAGTTGACGGTCAGACCACCAGAGGCGCTACTGTCGCGCTGGTCTCCGAGTCTGACATGGACCAGCGGCACGAGGCAGATACTGAACATGTTGTCAACTCTGATCGGGCGTTTTACGTGCATCTTCGGGCAGGATTTCGGCCAGCTTCTCAGTTGGCTATCGTCTATTCATCATTTCGAAATGGAGGTACGACGCTAAATGACTCGTTTGCATTGCAATGAATGTTCTGCCGCAATGCGCTAACATTACTAAGCATCAAACATTTTATTTGTCCTGATCTGAGCTGACCTGCTGACTGTGGTCCGTCTGTGACTGTGATCCTCCTGAGACTGTGGTCCGCCTGTGACTGTGACCGCTCTCTGACTATGACCCAGCTCTGACCGTGCTCCGTCATCCCGGCAGCCTGCGGCCTTCACCAGGAGATGAGCTGTGGTGATGGCCGGTGTATCGCCCTGTTCCTGCGCTGTGACGGATTCGCCCACTGCCCCGACCGCTCCGACGAAGAGTCCTCCTGCTACACACACTCGCTATGTGAGTGTGCTGTGAGTGTGCATCCCTGCGTCTCCTGACGCAGGGATGTATATTAATTTTAATTGGGTTTGTTGTGTTAAGTTAAAAAGATCGATATTTCTTATGATAATGGAAACGTTTCTTATGCTCTTCAATCGGAATATACCATGCTTCGGCCTTCGGTTCAAACATTAGTTATATCAATACACACTATTTTTCGATTCACGTATCAAATTTTAAGTATAAATACCAAGTTCTATAATCTATTGTAGTGATGGCCATTCTATCCACCCCTTCTCCCTGCACTTCTCCCGCAGCCAACAGCTTGGGAGTGCAGGATGAAGACACATGGACTCTGAGTCCTCCAAACTTCTACTTCCCGGGCCCGAGTCATGCAGTGGCCTCTCTGGAATCGGCTACCCTCTCCCTGCTGGCTATGTGTCTCAGTAAGTCACGTAGAAGGAAAATGCACGAAAACAGTGCACGCTGAACAAAAGCTCTCATGTTTCATACAGACTGCAGTCCCCCCCCTCTCTCTCTCTCTCTCTCTCTCTCTCTCTCTCTCTCTCTCTCTCTCTCTTTTTATCTTTTTTTCTCATACTCCCTCTCTGTTTCCTTTCTAGTCTAGTCAGATCTTGCTTTATGGCCAACTTTATCTGGCGATGAAGCCAGATAAACCGAGGTCATTTGATTATTGTGCACACGCCGCACAGCTTAAGCTGACGAATCTATGAAGACGTAGATTTACCAACGGAACCAGGGGGAGGCGAGATGTTGCATGAAAATATCGAAGACTATATTTCTTATTGAAGCTTCAGCTGATCGTTCATTGTGGGCCAGGTGGAACGAACTGCAGGCAAGTTTTCATACATTCGAATGCATGGTGAAGTTCAGAGTTCACGTAGTCGATTCGTTTAGCCTATCGGCCACTGTTCAGTAATTTCATTTTAAACTTAGACCCAGCAAACAGCAAAGTTCCCTGCGCTGAATCGCGATGTGGTCCCTGAAATTCAGCCTGGTTCCGGTTGGCCAAACAATATTCAATGCCCGCGTGTGGTGTCCGGTAAATGATGGCGACGTTGAAATGACTTTACCGAGCATCATTATTCATTTTGTAGGCATTATATGCGAATGAATGAATGAATGAATGAATGAATGAATGAATGAATGAATGAATGTATTACCTCGACTATCGTCAGGGTGGTTTAGGCATTTACAACGCAACATACGTTGACAGCTGTAACCAAAAGACAACTTCATGCAGCCTAATGGACAGCTCACAAAGTTGCAAACATATTCACACAGGAACTTGCAGGGATGTAATGATGATGTGCCCCTAGCAAATGTAGTGGCATGAATTACTTAGGTGGAGCAGCGGAGCTCACGCTGTTCAGTGGTTACCTCAACTCTGCTTCTCGTAGGGCATTATGTGAAGAAATAAACATGATCATCTATACATTCCTTTAGCACATTATCCTTTACCTGCCTATATATAATACCTTATCTACCATTATCACTATACCTTTACCTACCATAATACCTACCTATATATCTTTAGGTAGCACATTTTCTTTGACAGTTCATCGACATCGGCTATGTACTTACATCCGCCGATGATAATGACGAAACGCTTTAACATGGTTCACCTGTCGCATGTCGACCACTCCTACCAGTGCGTGCGTTCTGCGCATGTAGCTCCGTGCACTTTGCCTGTGCTCCCCGCACGTGGCACGGTTTTGAAGACAAACTGCTGCATTCTCCTGCAGCCGGGCCTCTGATGAAGGACTATTTATATCAATTTATCGCCAGCCGCACGGTCTGGGCACCAGCCTTTCACCGAGTTAGAAATAATTCCACGAGAAATCATTATTTCTCCAAATACTATTAGAAACTTTGGTATGAATTTACGTAAGTAGTGACCATATCTAAACGTCTGTACAAACCAAACATGATTTCCTAGATAGTTTTACAAATAATTAAAAGGCTGCAGAAATGTTTAATCGTGTCATATTCGTCTTGTGGACTGAATGTCGCGGTGTTCGAAATTTCAGACTCATTTCCTGTACTGATAATGATGAAATATCTAATTTTCTAACACGTCGTTGGTATGTACGTGTATTGATTAAGTCTACCTCACATTTTGTGCTGTCCTGCAGTAATCGTGCTCACCATGACATCGGCCATCATCTTTATCTACTCGAACGGGAGGGTGGCGGAGAGGAGGGCTCGGAACCGCATCCTGCAGAGCATCTCGAACCTCATCAGAGGTGGGTAAAGGCTCCAGCCTCCAATCTCATCATCATAGGTGAGTGGTTCATCAGAGGTGAGTACTGAACGTGTCATCTCCAGCCTCATCACTGGTGAGTATATCATACTTCCAACCTCATCAAAGGTGAGAGTATGCCTATAGCAACTCCAACCTTATCAGAGGAGAGTATGTCATTTTTAATTGATCAGATCATCTCCAAGCTAATCAGAGATGAGTAGGTGTACCTATTATGTGTAGCCTCATTAATGCTGAATGGGGCTCAGCCAAGAGAATGTTCATTTCCTGAACGGAGAATCAGCCGCGACACCAAGTACCAATTAGCCTAGTTGTGACAGCTCTGCGACAAGCAATTGACACAGGCCATCTGAGGTAAAAGTTTGCGTAGCCGGCAGCCAGATAGCTGATGAGGTTTGTGGTCATGCAACATATGCTATTGTGAATCTCTCTGAGCCATTAACGTGCATAACTAGCACAACGTATCTGATGATATTTTTGCCCCACGAAATATATCTCATTTTCTGCACAGTGCACACCTTGGACGTGTCGCTGACCGTTTGAGTCGTCGTCTAACCACTGATACTGTCGCACTCTGTGATTGGACAGACACTGTGACTGTGACTGTAACTGTGACTGTAACTGTGACTTGGCCGGACAGACAGCAGTGTGGAGGTGGTCAGCGCCGCTCCGGACGAGCCTCCAGACTACGAGCCGCCGCCGGACTACGAGCAAATCGTTCACTGCTTCACCGTCCAGAAAAGACGCAAGCGCAAACGCAAACACCTCAGGAAAGCTATTGAGCCGCAACAGGCCAGGTAACACAGGCTGCTGTTTTTGTTGCGGATATCTTTCTCCAGTTGCTTAATGCACTTGTACACTTTGGTTCTTCACTTTGAAGAAACGAGCCAGCCAGAAAGAAAACAATGGAGTTTACCCTGGCAGACTATGTTACGTTGGTGCAGAATTCAATGTTATGGCGTGTTTTTAGTCAAAGTAGCTTCTCCTATTGTGCTATAAATCTTCCCTGACCAGTGCTGAGTCAGGGGTTTCTTACGTAAGCATTTTCTGAAAACCAATATCGCGCCTGTGGAGGGAGCTCATCTGAAGTCTGAGGTCCAGTCTGCCTGCTAACCCGGTGATCGTTTCCAGCCGTAACCGCCGACTGCCGCGACACAACACGGTACCGAGTCTGCACCACTTCAGCGACTGGCTGCGGCACCACACCCACTCCCGGGCGAGTTCTACCTCCCCGACCTCCGCCGCCCCCGCCGCCGCCGCCGCCGCCGCCGCCACGGCCACGGCCACGGCCACCGCTGTGGCCATGGCCGGCACGCCCGAGGAGACAGCGCCGTCAGCGGAGACTCCGCTGACCGTCCAGCTGCCGCCTGAGAAGGAGGAGTTTGCAGTGCACGCCGCGCTCCTCGGCGCCTGCCGGTGCGCCGGGGCGTGCGGCTGCGGCGTGCTCGCGCGGCGGCCGTCGCAGGCACACCGCCCGCGCGGCTCGATACCCCGGTCCAAGTCGGCCGACGTGCTGTCCTCGGCGCTGGATGAGGAGCCGAGTGTGACGAGGACCGGCAGAGGCGAGCGGTCTCCGCCGCCACCCTACCAGTGGCACCCGCCGCCCTCGCCGACTCCTACACCGGCTCCCACCCCGGTCCCCACCGCCTTCCCGGAGCCGCAGGCGAGTCTGAACTCCCGCCAGCTTCCGCCACTGAAGCTGATCATCCCTCAGTACCAGCCTTCATCTGCAGGCGTTTCCCACAACCCGCCCCAGTCTCCTCCCATCCCACAGCACTTGCCCCCGAACTCGCCCATTCCTCATCCCCCGTCTCTGTCACCTCCCATTTCCCAATCATCACCCCAGCTACCTCCCACGCACCAGCCCTTATCTAAGTCCCCGTCCATAACCCAGTCTCCGCCTCAGTCCCCACCTATTTCCCATTCCACGTCTCAGTCGTCTTCCAGGCCGCAATCTCCACCCCAGTCTCCAGCCATTTCCCATTCCACATCTCAGTCTTCTCCCAGTCTCCATTCGTTAGCTCAGTCCCCGCCTATTCAGCATTCTCCACCTCAGTCTCCGCCCATTTCTAAATCTCCACCGCTGCAACTAAATTCATCACAATGTATCTCTAGATCCCCGGTCTCACCTCCATCGTCACATGTGGCTGTGTCAATTTCAGAGCCTTCCATCCTGCCCACGGCTCTGTCTGTTTCTACTTCCCTACCCCAATCCCAATCTCTCTCACTAGACTTACCTCAATCATCGCCGCCTAGTTCTCCAACCCCAGCCATACCAAAATGCCTACCCATCCCCCCGCCATGTGATTCAAGTCCGCCCCGGTCCCCGCCTCTGGCTTCAACCCCACCATGAGCTTCAACTTCCAACCCAGCTCCATCGGCACCTATGGCTTGAATCACGCTTCTGTCACCATTCCCTGCAAAATGACCGGGCGGCGCGGTCATACACCTGGCTTCAGTGTCCCTCTCGCCATCCTCCACAGCGAGCCTGGTCTCTGAGAGCAGCTCTCCCCCCGGATCACAGCAGGATCCTGCTTCTCACCGAGCGACGAGTAGTCACCGTGGGCTAATCAATAGCCCACGGCTCGACTGTCTCGCATTTGCCTTCTACGAAAGCTCGTGAATGTCACCGACGTATGGTGCTTTGATCGGATAATTGTATTCGTGCGGTGATGAAGTGACCTTTATTGGCATGTCAGACTGTGAGAGCCACTAATGCGGTGTCTATAGCGACTAGCCGAGTGGGTGGCAGCGCTGAAAGGCATATTCAGACTGTTGTGTATGAGCGGATAGGTGCTACTGTGGTATACACGAATGCTATTTTCTTGATTACCCATGGATTTACTAGGTACAGAGCACGGAAATACCGTGCTTCCGCAACACTATTGCTTGTTAGCTTGGAGTTCTATGCTTGATTGGCAGGCAATTTCTTCTACTGAGATTTGCTATACATCGTCCTGGATGCTGCATCCTAAGCATGCTTTCACATGGCATAAGGATGCATTGATGCTTATTACCCGTAAGCAAAGGGGAGTGTCCCGCCTGCTTTTGATTATCAATACATATTTAGGAATTAATTACATCTTCGATTTCTGCTGGGTATTGCAACACCTGCACGCTGAGCTTTCTTGCAGAACCTATTAATGGAAACGAAACCGGCAAGTTTTATACGACCTGCGTTTTCCGATTGTATTCATATGCTGTCATGCATACAGTATTATGTTCGATGCGTCTGTTTATGCCGATCATGACTGCTCTAACATGAGACAGTTTACAGTTCACGATAAAATAGACCGTTCTGGCTTTTAACAACACCTTACACCCAATATCACAAATCACGATAGGCCGCTGCACAGTGGCCCTTTTTCAGAATTAGCACGCATAAATTCAAAGTATTTTTTCTCTTCTTTTGAGTAAAAAGTAGTCTTATCGTGTGCAAAACATTCCAAACTATCCGATGGTGCCATTTTTACCTCCTAAAAAATAATTATCTTTGGTAAAACTGACCGCAAAATCGAAGTTTGTCGAGAGGCGCGCGGACACCACCGGCGGACCCTAAAAAGTAGGGTGAGATGAACATCAATTTGTAAGACTTTCGTTGAGAAAATATTAAAAATTAGTGGCATGGCTGGGAAGCTGAGTTTACGTAGAAGCCCTAGAAACCACTATTTTCATTGTATTAACTTTAATAGACCACTTTTGCCGAATATTGTGGACACAATAACAGGACAATTATTAACTGGAGATGGTGGCATACATATGAAGCTTTATGTTAAGTAGAACACTCTGGAACATGTCGTATTATACATCGTTCGAATCGCCGATCTCTTCTGACCATGTCCACCAAAGGGCATCGCGCCATTTTGCGCCATTTTGCTTCTACGGTGGATAACGTGAGCCAGTTCAGTCCGCGAGCGGCTGTGGCTCCTGTTCGATACGACTAAGCTCATTGACCTGGCTCGAAGCTGGTGTCACCTGGTGTGCGCCTAAATGTGGCTTGACTTTTGCCATAAGATGTGCTAATTGAAATGTCATGTAGGCATAACGCTGTGCCCAAGAAAAACTGTCCGATTTCTTGTCGCGTTTGATGTCCAAGCCGCACAAGTCCCGTGGTCGGCTTAAAGGGACACTCCCACCTTAACATTAGTTTTGAGTTGAGATAGCCAAATTGGTGGCCATGGCCGGCAAATACCGGTTTGGGCACTCACAACATCGACAAATGCTTTAATTCGGAGATATGGAATTTCAAACTTGCAGTTTTCGGATTCTAAGGGGCTAGTGCATTGGTATGCCCCCTTAGAATTTGTGACGTCAGCGGAGATCTAACGATTTTTAAATCTTTTACTAAAACGTTTGGTAGCACGCGGTGGTATATGCTGCTTTGCGCGCAACAAATGCCGCACTTTCAAATAAAGTCGCTAGGAACAGCGGAGATCCCAAAAAGTAAACAAAAGTAAAAGTCTAATATCTTGAAAACCGGTGAATATTTTTCGATGAAATTTGGTAGATATTCGTTTTTGCTCTTTCTGAACCGAGCAACATCACTTTCATGCCAATTCATTAACTTTTTTGAAGGTGGGAGGGTCCCTTTAAGATCTAACGTCAAAAGCGCCTATGTGTTTGTATTGTTCGCGTCGCGCTGACCTTAGTTGCTGCCCGGCCGGGGCCGACTAACGGTTGCTGGCAACAGCTGTAGATGCGGTCACGTGACGCCCTGGGGCGTCCTGGCGGTCAGTGCAGCGCGGTCGGCTGGCGGGCTCGCCACACTTGCGGTCTGAGCGGCCTGGGCCGGCGGGCGAGCCGTGCGAACGTGCGCCAAATCTTGGGCCGAGCGGCCTGTCGCTGTTGGGCCGAATCTCCTTGGGCAGTTCGTTTCTTTTCTTCTCTTTACATTGGCAGGGAATACGTCTTTGATCACTTGGTGATGTCTTGCACCACTTTCAGGTAATGTGGGAATTAATGCGTGCTAATTCTGAAAAAGGGCCACTGTGCGCTGGCTAGAGTTGTCCGAGCAGAATGTGCGCCGGCCGGTGTGACTACACAGGGCCCGAGCGGGTGACGATCGCAGGCTCCTCCCAGCCAGCAATTCGCTTGGGCTGAACTGTGGCAAACGTTGGGCAGCTTGGGCTTAGCTTGGGTTTGCCCACTTTGATCAAAACCAATGCATTTTTTACTAGGGCTGAGCTGGGGCATGCCGCAGCTATGCCCAAGTGCGGATAGCAGTAGCTCAGCCCGACATCTGCCCGCACATCCAAAACAGGCTTAACTTGGGCGGAGCGCGGGCTGATCAAGCTGGCTGTGTCCTTCGGCTAACTGGAGTAAAGCCGGAGCTTAGCCATACTTGTTCGGCTGTTCGCGCATGCGCAGCTCTGCGCCAATCATGTGCAGCGTTTGTGACAGTCTGTGCGCTGTGCGACGAAACGACACACCGGTGTTGGGGCATTTGGTGGTTGATGTTTGGGCGCGTGTGACAGCGCGAAGAAGGGATAGTGCTCACTGCTCTTATCACGTGGACTGGCATGCAGTGTTACGGTAGGTAAGTGTATTGAATGGTGCGCTTGATCGTATGTAAACGTCATGATTTTGACTGAGTTTCACGCCATCAAACATGAAGCTGAATAGCTGTTCAGCCTGGCGATTTATACCCTCGCTCAGAAAAGCCGCATTCCGTGCCTTCATATCTTTGTGAAATATCAGCACTTCTGAACCAGGAAAATGAAATACAAAACACAAATATTTATCTACTTATCACCGAGCACGCTCATTCTCTGTCCGCGTTGAAAATCGAATGATCATTTTATACGGATTAATGAGAAGTGCTTTTACAGTATTAATGCAACAATAACTTATTTTTCAAGCAAACATGCAATGTAAATTAAACCAATTAATCTCTTTTTCAGGTACGTACCATTAGAGCAAATGGTTCCAAAAAAAATGGAATAGTTATACAAACCAGGACCGGGTGGACGCCGCAGTCGCCCTCGCCAAGTGGTTTAGCGGAAACTGCCTGCTTATAATTAAGTAGGTAGGTATACCTACATTATACTGAAACTGCGCCGAAAGCTGGCCGACCACCTACTGCAGATGTGTGTATGTGTGGAGGAGCCAGACGCCTCCAAAGCTCCCATTCACCAGAGTGAAATTCCTTATAAACGATTGTTTGCTAATTGCTTTATGTCTTATGAGCGATTACTTGCTGTCCTTACTTTATGCTTTCGGTTGAGTGTTCAACCAAGTATTATGAACGGGGAAGGAGGCTAGCGGGCCTTTGATTGTTTTATAGTTTTGATGGCGCTTTTTCATGACTCATGTCATATTATTGCTGCAGTTCGCACTCCACTGTTTCATGTATTTGTGTTTCATTTGAGTGTCTGTAGTCGTTTATAATATACATTCACTATCAAAGTCAACCACTACTTTCCTTTCGCAATGCTCGATGACCGGTTAACAGAGCATATGAGTGACCGTAACAATTTTAAATATGCATTGAAACCGCACAACCTGCTGAAAGTGCATTGGCTGCTCCTTGCTACTTGATCCAGTGTGAAGCAAAAGCAAGATGAAGTCAAGTCGAGACTTGAGAAAACAGGAGCCGTCACTCGAGCCGAACCCGAGCAAAGCCACAGCAGTTTGCAATGTATAAACCCCATTCACTTCTATGGCTTAAGTCGGGATAGACAGGGCACACAGAGTGGGCTTGCCGGAGTTCAGCCCGCTCGGGCCCAGAGTAATCTCCATTATATAAATGGATTCACTGCTCGGGCTTAAATCGGGCTAACGCCAATCGTCGCTCAACTAGGGCTAAACTACGGCTGTCCGGAGCTCGCAGAGCGGGCATACCTCCGGCAGAGCATGGGCTTTAGTCGGCGTTTTTGTGTCATACGCCGACTTTAGCCCAAGCCCTAGCCGACTTTAGCCCGACTAAAAATCTCGGGCAATCCGCACTTGAGCCTGCTTGGGCCCGGAGCAAAATTGCTGGCTGGGTCTCCCGTGACTGGATGACTAGACGTGGGTCGAGCCGGAGCGGTATTTCGAGCCGGCCAAAACTAATATGTAGAACATATTACGTATTCATATTAGTTCAGATACATTTTTCGTCAGTCGCCCTCGATCAAATGAACCAACTGTCAGTCGAAAAGATCCCAAGGTGTAAATTGAAGTTAGCATAATAAAGTAACCTCCAAATGTTAAAACTAGTGAAAGGCGTATTCGGATTCCATAATTTTCCCGGGACCAACTTTCGTAAAAAAAGTGAGATGATGGCAACCAGCGTGGCACAATGCGCCGTGCAACGAATGCCCTTGCCAGCGTGGGCTCTTTCAGTTGGATAGAACCTGTACAGGAACATGAGATGACGCTGTGCGGGAACGCATTGCAATCAGCGGCGGCCAGCGGCTGTAGACTCGCCATGACCCAGTCACCTCGGGGACTATTTTTTTTTTTTTTTAAGCCGCCGCCCATGAATAGACGACCAGGAGTGTCCACCCACTGACCCGCGCGACACATAGAACCTTACGTTAACACCACCCCGAAACATAATACATCAAGTCGCGACACTCCCTGCTAGGAGAATGAAGAAAACAAAATCAAAGCTGGAATAAGCGCGGTAAGGCCCTTGTTAGTATGGTATATGGCTTAAAAGAGAAGCAAAGAAGTCAAGGCTAAATGTAGCTTGACTGACCACTACACCTTCCCATTTAAGAATAAGCCAAAGGATCAGTCATTCCATCGGTTAGTTAGGTTAATCGTGCAGCGCATTCACACATTTTTGCGGGGTGGGGGGGGGGGACAGTATCTGGTCTGGGTTCGGCAGAGTCAAATGCCCACTGAAAAGAGCCGCCGAGCTAAGCAAGCTTGTTGCTCAGCGAACTCAAATCAGGGACTAAGAGATGAATCCCAAAGGACAGAGCACCGAGATGTGCTAACGGGTACCACAGGATCATACAGCGTTAACATATTTGTATTACCGTATTACGTAGATGTAGTTATTACACCGAACATGCTCTTCCTTTCATTCTTAGAGCTCCTTTTTTGCTGTTGCTCCTGGCAGAATAGATAACAAGTGACTAAAAAAGGTCATTGATGTTAATGATCCAATGCTCCTTAAGATCATTGGAGGATCTTTAGGATGTGAAAGACGTATGAAGATTCAAGGGCGGTGACCGCCTCCAGTGGCGGATCCAGGGGGGCAAAATGGGCATTTGCCACCTCCCAAACGGCATAATTTTAACATTACGCCTATGAACGAGGCATGGAAAGAATCGATAGATTGTTATGGTTTGCCCCCCCCCCAAAAAAAAAAAACTCTGAGCTGGATCCGCCTCTGACCGCCTCACTTGTCAACGTCAGATCCACGGCACATGCGGCATGCCACAACTCACAACCGCCGCGGTGCTTCGACATTTCGCTACGTATCTCGATTCGACCTATATCCGGCCACCATCAGACATCTCATCAGCATCCCGACTTCCCGTCTCTGTATACTTGGTGACCTCCTGAATTCGCGCTACACACCAGTCGCCCTCCCCCTCACACCAATCACCAGCTGACACTTGTCCGAGCACCAGCTGTCTTCCCGTCCCCCAACCACCTAACGTCCCGTCTCAGGCACCAGCTGACCTCTCCTTACACCAGCTGACTTCCCGTCCCTACACCAGCTGACCTCCCGTCCTACACCAGCTGACCTCCCGTCCCTACACCAGCTGACCTTCCATACCTACACCAGCTGACCTCCCGCCCCTACACCAGCTGACCTTCCGCCCCTACCCAGCTGATCTCTCGTCCCTACACCAGCTGACCTCCCGCCCTTACACCAGCTGACCTCCCGCCCTTACACCAGCTGACCTCCCGTCCTACACCAGCTGACCTCGCGCGCTTACACCAGCTGACCTCCCGTCCTACACCAGCTGACCTCCCGCCCTTATACCAGCTAACCTCCCGTCCCTACACCAGCTGACCTCCCGCCCCTTCACCAGCTGACCTCTCGTCCTTACACCAGCTGACCTCCCGTCCTACACCAGCTGACCTCCCGTCCCTACACCAGCTGACCTCCCGTTCTACACCAGCTGACCTCTCCTTACACCACCTGACCCCCCGTCCCTACACCACCTGACCTCCCGTCCCTACACCAGCTGACCTTCCGCCCCTACACCAGCTTTACGACGAAATATGACGAAAATGAACGGATGAAATAGACTAATATGTTGCTAAAGCGTTCCGATTCGTGGGCATTGTTCTGTGCTCTTTATCCAAAAAGTCAGTGTCAAACAACCATTAAAATTTCAACATGATGTAATGTTCTTGCGAAACCTTACATACCACACGCTTACATACATGTTTGTGCCGGACAGTCAGTTATCATCTGTTAAACATCAGCATGCAAGTACGTAGACACACTCAATGGTAGTCGGTCCTCGGCAACTCATGCCTTAGATACAATCAGCATACCATATCAGCACCACGCCATCTCGCTAATGATATTAGTAGCACCTTTAAATCTTCTCTTTTCTCGCTTGGCACGACTGACTAGTGACTACTATATCATAACAGAGCATTCAAATTTCACATGTCGACAATGCACGCATGTTAGTGCGAGTTAATGATGGTCATGTTCTCTCTCAGACATGACACTATTAGAACAATTAGCACATCATCAATGCCCATTTAGCTGTACAGTTTCAATAAAAACTTTCATAACTATCCAATATTCATATTTCAAACACGACTTCTCTCTACGCATATCGTACAAACCACTTTACACCTATGCCAAAATAGCGCCACGTCGCACATTTGTGATAGTAGCTCAACAACATATCTACACATCATGCGCAATCCACTCCACTTCTCAGGAAATCTCTTATGCTTAAGTACACATTAACAGGGAATGTGGATTCAAGTCCTGCCTCCAGATAGCATCGTTTATCGTTCAGAGTAATCAGAGTGTCGTGGCCGTCGTGAACGGACGTCCGAGAGCATGTATTACCGACCCCAGAGTCGTAGCGAAACGATGGTTGTCGGAGACACAGCCCAAGAGAATATACCCATGCACAGCCGCGTGGCTCCATATCAAACAACTCCAAGCAGCACTGCTTCAATTGTTTTAACCCTATTCCTGGCGGGGGGGGGGGGGGCCTCAGGAGCCCCCCTGAGGTTTTTTGGTTATTTCTCCCAAACGCGTTGAGCTAGGAAGCTCAAATTTTCTGACTTTTCCTAAAAGGCTTCTACGCAACATGTCTGAAAATTTTGAGTTGATCTGACCTCAGGTCAGGTCACCAGAGGCGGTTTGGTGACCCTACCTCAGAAAAGTTTGCAATCACGCCAGAGCTAGAGTTTTTGACCGATCAATTTCTTCTCTTCAGGGTTTAGTTAGAGTACCAGTATGTGCAATTTGTATATCTCGGAATTTTGATATCGGTGACCTAAGGTCAGGTCAATTTCGCGACCTCCCCATTATAAGTCAATGGGGGAAAAATCAACTCCCTGTTTTTACCACTAAAACGGGTCGGAATGGCCCCATATACCATACATGACTTCATATACGATCAACCTTCACTACCTTGAGGTCTGTTTTGCTGTTGGGCAGCTGTGAGGTCATGTGACGTCATCAAAGGTCACCAAAGGTTTTTGGCCAATAACTCCGTACAGGAACAAGATACAGACGCGTGGATGGTCTCATTGTGTTCAGCTCGTGAAGACGCATCGAATGATATACATGATGACCTCGAGGTCACGTGACCTGAGGTCAACCTTTGACCTTGACCTTTCGAGGTCAACATATATATCATTCGATGCGGATTGACGAGAGGATCACGATGATGCCCTTAGTTTGTTCCTATCTTGACTAATTCGAAAGTTATTCGAGAAAAACTCTCTCCATATCTAGTGCCGCCATTTTGACTTTTTCGACCCCTGTGACGTAATCTTTGACCTGACCTGAAAATGACCTTAGTAAAAATTGTAGATCTTGGCCGTGCGTATCCGATGCCGTTTACCGCTTGTCGCTATCTTGCTTCGTTCTCGAGATCTCAGGGGGGGGGGCCGAATCGGCCCCCCCCCGCCAGTTTCTTGTCCCGGCGGAGCCCGCCAGGAATAGGGTTAAGTACCTGAGTGAGACGATTTAGGGACAGCCAAATAGGCTGTAGCTCCTTTTTCAGACAATGGACAACAGACAATGGAAGTTAGTCATGTTGCGACTAAATCAACATTAAGAGTTTCTCAGTCTGCTGAAGCAAGGTACTTATAATCATCTGAATATGCAGATATTTACAAAAAGCTAATTATTGAGAGCGGCGGACAGAGTAGGGAAAATATTGGAAATTCGACTGGCACAGAGTAAACCTGATCTAATGACATAACCAGGCATTTCAGCTCAAAGTCTTCCTGATAATCTTACAATGTTCGCGAAGAGAGGTTTTGAAGTGGTCGGTGTCGCTTCGAAAACAGATTAAAGGAGAACCATTTACTGATGTAAATACCATTTATTGTTGTAAATGGTACGGCGGAGCTGAAGGGAATGGTAACAAAAACTTACTGCGCATAGCTTTCTTCGTCGTTTCTTCATTAGCTTTGTTGAAACGAAATAGTTGGTGCGATTTCAAAAGAACGTTGAACAGAGGGCAATCAAAGCTGTCGCAAACTTTGAGCTCAGTGAGGCATTCATTGTCCTTTCATCACATACAGCTGGTCATTGGACGGCAATAGAGTTAGTCGTCAGAAGATTAGATGTTTGAAATGTAATATATGAAGAAACTTGATTGATAACGCTAGATCAAAAGACTGACTGGACGACTTATATCTCAATGTACAGTGCTTACCGCCAAGTCCTAAGTTTTGTAACGGAAAGGAATGTTTTCATAAAAATCCTATACGTGATAGTCCATTTGCTGCAGACACAATATGACATCAGAACGACATCCCACCACTAAACATTGTAACAGGTTTAGGTACATCAACAACAGCTTAGCATTCATACGCGGCGTAGTTTTCCCCATATACTGAAAACTCCTTCGACATTTCTGAGATATCGAACATCTTTTGAGATTTGACTTCATGGCAGGAACAGGGCACCCATTCAACTATGTACAATTAATCGCAAACACGTACATCTTATCACTGTGATCGACACAAACACGTCAGTTGGAGTCCACTAAAACAAATGGCAAGAAGCTGGAACTTTGAAACCAGTTGCGAGGCTGGCTCACATCTCAGGTTGTTCTCGCGCGTATACAAACTGTATATACAAGGGCAAGCGCGGCTGCCCCAAGGGATCATCAGTATTTCGTTCTACCAGTTCACTTGGAAACTGCACACGGACGCACGTTGTGCAGAAGCAAAATGCGTCGCCATCCCTCTCGCAACTCGAACGCTTCTGACGCACTTTGACGTCACCAGGGCGTCAGCTAGTTCTCCATGACGTCATGAAGACGGTCCGTCGGAAAGTCAACCACCATCGACACCGTCGCAGTTCATTCCGCACACCCAGCTCTGTTGAGGTAGCGCCGCTCATCGCCGAACAAAGGGACGTGTTACAATCATGTGACCGACGTGACACCAGGAGCGGGGCGAAAATAGCACACCCAGCCGCGGATCACAATCGATTGCAATCACGCGGCACGGTTCACGCGTGGCTTCTTCTTTCTCGCCCGCTGCGACGAGAAAAGGCTCCGACGCGGCAAGGAAATTGGCCCGCCGTGCTGTGGGGTTGGCCAGCCGTGAGATGTAGGTTCGTTCCCGCGGTGCCACGACGCGTCCACAGCGAACTGTGCTCGACATTTCCGGACGGAGAGGGACTACGTCACTGACCAGTGACGTCACCAAGTCACGGAACTTCCATAACGAGCCGCCATTCGGGTGTGTTCCATGAGACAGCGCACATTGAAAACCTCTCATGCAGAGTTCGCTGCGGCCGTGCTGCGCGAGACCTGGCTCGGAGAAGCCATAGAGATGATGGAGTGTCCAGTTAGCGGCCGTCGGCGGCGGCGGCGGCGCTCCTCACGGAATGGGCTGGATGTAGTCGTGGCCGGTGGTGGCCGCGTTGGGTCGCAGGTACATGTCCTCGTCAAGTGGGGCTGCAACGTCCCCCAGGCCGAGAGCCACCAGGTCGGCCTCGATTTTGGCCAGCTCCGGGTCGAGCTGAACTTCGGTGTAGGGTACTGCCTCCATGTTTGCGTACCTGCAAAACGTCATACGAAAATAAATCAGTGCTATTCGCCCATTGAATGAGAGATTTTTGATGCTGCTGACCAACTGAGTGATCTAATAATTATAAGGCAGAATTTGTTTAGGTGATTGTTTGTCAATCATCACCCTTAGTTCGCCTTGGTTTCGCGATGAAAATTTCGATTGAACATTCATACAGCAGAATCTGAGGGGTTGGCGAATACACAGGGCAGCATATAGCTGTATCAATCTCAATCACATCACCCCTTACACCGCTTCTTTCATGGCGACACGCATGACCTCTGCCCTCCCCTGCTCAGGTGACATCTGTTCTTCCCTGCCGAGTTGAACTCTGCCCTTCCCTGCCGAGTTGACATCTTCCCTCCCCACCGAGATCACTGACCTGTGACCCTTCATAGTGTCGCGCATGCGCGCCAGTTTCTGGACGATCTCGGAGAAGTTGGTCCGGTCGCGCGGCTCAGAGCGCCAGCATGAGTCCATTACGTCACACACAGCCATTGGACAGCTCTCCGGGGGCACCAGCAGGATATGATGCAGAATCATGCTCACCACCTGTGGTCAGGAAAAACGACACTTTAGTAAGACGAACACAAATGGGTGTCAGGTGAGCACACAATGAAATCTTTTTTTTTACGTTGATTTGAGAGGGACGCTCCAATAAGACATGTTGAAATAGTTTATAGAATATTTAACCCTCGCCCTGGCAAGGGGGGGGGGGTCCAAACCCTAAGGTTTTATGCTAAGTGACTCGCCTCTTTGTTGGTGTGACCGTAGTAGGGCTGCTTGCCGTAGGCGTAGATTTCCCACAGAACCACTCCGTAGCTCCAGATGTCCGACTCCAGTGTGAACTTGCCGTAACTGATGCTTTCCGGTGCCATCCAGCGCACGGGCAGCATGCGAGAGCCTCCAGCCACCTGTCCAAGAACGTGAACTCAAAGTACCGCGCTTTTTGACGTTCATTTTTCATATAGGTGTCATAAATTATGCAAGAGAAGAACTAGACTGCCTACAGTCCATTTGTTCAACATAATTATTTCTATTTAAACTCCGTTTCTTTCATCTTTTTTGATTGTAGATGTTCACAGAATTTGGTACACATGGGTACTCAAACGCTTACGCGTTCGAAATCCATAACAGTTCTAAACGTATCAGATAAATTCATCATCTCATATGTCGCTTTCACACAAGTCTCACCTTGTAGTAGTCGCACGTGTAAATGTCGCGGCTCATGCCAAAGTCGGAGATTTTCACTATCATGTGCTCTCCGACGAGAATGTTGCGGCAGGCGAGGTCGCGGTGCACAAAGTGCTGCGAGGCCAGGTACTCCATTCCTGAGGCCACTTGTTCAGCAAATCCGTGGAGTGTGCTCTGCCGGACACAAGGAGAGAGGTGCAGTTACAGCTCTGCCACAGCATGGCATCTCAACTGCACGGGCGACACGGCATACAGCGCGCATCGGTGATCGGGACTACCGAGTTTGTTTATTCAGTATATTGCCAACGGGATACGGCCTCCCACTAATAGGCAAAGTCATCCGTTTAAAACAACAGTTATCCGTAAAAAAAAAACAGTGACGTTTGCTGAGTCTAACACAGCAAAAATTATGTGCCGATGCGACGCAGGGAAACCAAGAAACTAGTAGGATTTTCTTGAAATGGTTTCTGATAGAGTTTTGATTTAGCTCTGATATTGTTTCGTTGCTCACAGATCAAAGTAACGTTTGCATCAAAGTGAGGTATGACAAAATTGTGTTTTGCGACTTTCTCTTAAACTTAATTAAATCGGTACGAGAAAACCGGTGTAATTCCAAGAGTTTGCTTTCAGGAGCAGGTCTACCTGTTCGATTGTATTCATGAAACTCATCAGTCTGATGTCGGTCGAGCCGCCCCAAATAGCTTAGGTCGGAGCGTCTGATCGCTAATCGCCGTTTTCACGACGGCCATCTGGTACACATCTGGTGCACATTTGGTGCAGATTAGGTGCAGATTTGGTCAAATCAGGTTCCGTGTGTCTCTTACTAGCTATCAGATAGGGTTGCACTAACTGCTTATATGCCTGCTTTGTCATATTATCAGAGAGTATCATCGATGAAAACACTGAAATAAATTCATAAAATGCATATATTTGCTGTAAAAGAGATTAGGTGCAGATTTGGTCAAATTAGGTACACTCGCCGGATAGCCCGTCGTGAAAACGGCGAATATCACCCGGTGACGACGCTGGCCCGGCTCGAGCTGCATGGCTGCTCGCCAGTCGCTGTTTGTTCTTGACTCGATGGACTGTTTCATCGGTATAACGGGGGCCAATTGTTACAGTTCATACGATATTGCTGAATGGGGATAATATGTGACTTGTGATTTGAGCTTCCCGGCCTTAAGTGGCAAATGTCTGCATGAACGACAGAACACAAAAGAATTACCTGTTCATCGTAACGCAGCTACAGAAGACGCTTTTGAAGGTGAGCTCCCATCAATGCTGGACGTCATACTGTGTTTCGATGATAATACGCTTTGACGTGGCTCTGGTCGATCAATAAGCGAACAGATCCTACTGAACACTTTAAGTTCTTGAAGTCACAGCTTTGCCTCGACAAATGTCCCCAGATGAGGCAACTGAAAACAGTGGTGTCTGTTTGATCACCAGTAGCCTGTCGTCCGTGCTTCTCCACTGATGTTCAGTGAAGAGGACAAATTGTGCGGTACACAAATCATACGCTTGTCGTATTTTCGTGCCTCATTGGGCGCTGAAGGTCAAGGCAATCAATCGTTCTTTTTACGGCTCATCCACTCACTGCCCTCAGGCCTGCCAGTCTAATTGTTTTTCGTCTCACGCTCAGGGAGTTGTGATCAGGAAATTATTTCTTTTTGAATGTTACGGCGAGAAGAAACCGAATTAATTGTCTGTTTATTATCCCTGTACCGGTAATGTTTGGATGTGTCAGTTAAATCAGTTCACCATTGGGCTACTCTGTGAACTGTCCTGTGACTGTCGACTTACCACGTCGAGCGCACTGCCCTGAGGACTGCCCTGGACATTTAGGGCGATACTCGCCTAGACACTGTCGAGTGTCAAGTTGCCATGTCGAGCTCTTTGCCCTGAGGAATGTCGACTTACCATGTCCAGCGCGCTGCCCTGAGGACTGCCCCACTTGGGCGCGTTCTTTCTGAGCAGCTCAGCCAGATCTCCGTAAGCCATGTACTCAAACACCATCCAAGGCGTGACGCCCGTTTCTGAAACCGGAAACGGAATCAGGATGACAGATATAACATTGTAAGTGTTCCTTGTTCAATACGTTGATCTCAGGGTAGCTAAATTAGTTTCGGGAGAGTCCCACGACTACATTGCAATTGTTCTCATCACAAGGTGTAAATTCATCAGTTAAGGGGTAATTTCCGCCGAGTGATATCGGCCTCTCGAAGGAGCCATTCAGCGGCTGGAATTGCAGGAGTAACAAGAAACATTATCCTGAATCTAAGCCAGAGGAAGTCATTATGATCAGCAAAACAATATGCTTATCTAATCTAAACTATGCATGACGTTTCGAGAAATTACGATCTAATATTTCATTGCTAAGGGCTGGGGAATGAAAGCCTTCAGAGATTACCAACGTGAAATATAGTCAGCCTTTAGAGAATACACAACACATAGAAGGCATGACCTCCCACAGGATTTTGAAATTTGTCCAGAACTTCACAAACAAGATTTGTTTACTGAATTATGATGTACTGTTCTTATACATAGGTACTCGTAGTTGGGGGGGGGGGGGTAAATGGCGTCTACTTGAAAAGATACAATTAACATTTTACACAATACAACTATCACGGGATCAAACAGAAAAAAGAACATCTATATTAACTGCAAAAATGCGTGTACTTGCCCGAGCACTGAACATTGGTCAATGCACTAGCAGCCTAAGTCCATGACTAAATGCGCATCAATGCGAACGCTTATTTAAAGAGGCCATTTATATCAACCGCTTATTTGATTTATGAACAATCAAGGTCGACTCCGAAGTCCAACGTCAACATTAGAGAAAGCCCCTGAGGTGGTTCTTAGGATCTCAAATCCAATTTATGGCACCCTTTGTTTGCGTGTGGCATAAATATTCCTCACCCACTGTATGGTCGACAGCTGATCGACACAAGATCTATGTTTTGAATTATCATGCTGCTTTTGACGCCTATCTGTCTTTTTTCCAGCTCGCACACTCAGTTACCCCTACATTACTTTAATGTATAAAGCTTTTACGTAAGATGAGAGACGAATAGGGAAGGAGATAAAGTGGCAAGAGAGAGAGAGAGAGAGAGAGAGAGAGAGAGAGAGAGAGAGAGAGAGAGAGAGAGAGAGAGAGAGAGAGAGAGAGAGAGAGAGAGAGAGAGAGAGAGAGAGAGAGAGAGAGAGAGAGAGAGAGAGAGAGAGAGAGAGAGAGAGAGAGTGAAAGAAAGAAAGAGAGAAAGAGAGAGTGAAAGAAAGAGAGAAAGAAAGAGAGAAAGAGAGAGAGTGAAAGAAAGAAAGAAAGAAAAAGGAAAGAAGGAAAGGGAGAGAGAGAGAGAGAGAGAGAGAGAGAGAGAGAGAGAGAGAGAAGCGCAAGCAGGCGCCGTTGCATGGCTATCGGTTGCAAGACTGCCCACTGCCCAGTGCCCGTGTTCCTTTGCGCCTCTGCCCCCGTTCTCACCTTGCACCAGCACGCCCAACAGGCTGACGATGTTGCCGTGCTGACAGCTGGCCATGATTTCGACCTCCCTGATGAAGTCCTCCTGCAGCTCGACGTTGGCCGTCTCCTTTAGCAACTTCACCGCCACGTTCACCGGCTCGCCGTCCGCGGGACGGTACACGCCTGGCCAGAGGCCGAACGGAGGGTCAGAACAGGGGACGCTGCACGGACGGAAAACTAGACGGGGCCGAAATCAGTTGGGAGTGACCCTTTATTATGGCAGAAACATCGGCGGGTTCTAGTGTCGGTAAACAATTCTTTTGGAAAACTATGACGCTACAAGAGCAACACTTAACAACATGAAGTTATGGAACAAGGTTTTCTTTTCTAAACGAATGAATATTGCGATATTTGATGAATATTGTAATGTTTCATAGTTATAAAGTATGTATATTATTGCACAATTTCTGTTTCGTCAAAGCAACAGCAGATACCAATTCGGCCTGTCAGGTACGCAAATGATCAAATTCATACGAGGAAAGTCTTTCAGTATCTGACTTGACACCATAATATGTGAAAACCCTCGCCTGGCATTCAAATTATGCGTAATGAATTTACTTAAATTATGCATTCAAAGTTCGAAAATATCTTTGTTCATCAAGCGACTCTCTCAACGTTTCTGTTTAATGCCTGGTTATTCTGTGGACATCGGCGTGGAACTGATGAAATCCTGATTCCATGGAACAAATGACCATTGATAATTCACCACTGTGTCGCCCTGTGCGCTCGTCGGGCTGCGACAGCAGAATTAGGGCCTCGGAAAGTTACGGGGAAATATGTCGGGCGCTGTTCGACATTGGCAGCAGCCGTGCGAACCTCGCCACGAATAGTTTGAATGAGTGTTATTGGAGCCGAACGTGCTTCGTATCGCAAGACGACGGATGACTGAATTTCCAGACCGAGTTAGTGATTTTAAAACGAGGATCTCTTCGTTTTATCTTTTATGAACACAATCAAGTTGTGAGCCCCCTAGAAACAAGAGACGAAACAAGAGACCAAACCTGTTCAGCTGACACAATGATAGCAGAAATCACGACCGAACACGATACACAGCGGACCGATATGGATTTTTGCAGGCATGCCGTCCAGCAAAACTAACTACGGATTTTATACAACTGTGAGATTTAGATCATCCAAATGAAACACTGAAATAATAGATCGTACTGAAATAACCGAGGGGATGTATTCAATAGCTTACAACACTATTCATTAGAATTGAACCTTTTCTATTGAAACACAAACTTAACTTCTTAAACATTGTAGCAAAAGCTGCCTGGGATCTATAAGTGATTCAATAAGGCAACGTGTGTAAAGTGTGGATATCTGTGGACGGCAGAAGTCAGGCCAGAGGCCAGTTTTACCAACAGAAAAATGGGCGCATGCCGGATTTTTTTTGCCTAAAGACCGCTTCACATACGGAGCATAAACGGTAAAGCCCTATCCGCTTACGTACCCATCGCGTTTACCGCACACGGTAAAGCGGTCTTAAGGGGAAAAAAATCCGGAAGGCGGCTATTTTTCTGTTGGTAAAACTGGCCTCAGTTCAAGAGATGCGCCGCCGCGGCGTGTCGGCCGTTGGTATGGTGTCCCGCAGTGCTCCGGTGTGTTGCGGAACAGCCTACCACGCCAGGTAACCGAAACCGCAGCCGTCTTGGGCGAGTCAGGTAACCGCCCTGGCCGAGCGTGAGTGAGTGAGTGAGTGAGTGAGTGAGTGAGTGAGTGGGTGGGTGGGTGGGTGGGTAGCTGAGTGAGTGAGTGAGGAGTTCTGAATCCGCGGGAATGCTTGATCGTGTTGTTTGTGTTGCATAGTTTGAACAGTGTGGTTGAATTGAAGCATCAATCGCTGATTTGCTCCTACTGCTTTTTGCTGATTGGCCCCGTCAATGCTTCCCAATGCGGTACATTTACCATATGCCAATCGAATAGCAAATCAGAGAAAATCACATGCCACATACAAATAAACTAATATTTTCGCCGTCAGCCTCCCTCTTTAGCATAACTGCAATGACAAAGCATACCCAACTGAACAAGAAATAAAAGTAATATAACCAGAATTAAGTTTTCTGGGGCACTCTCGAAAAGCGGAAGTCCTCATCAACCTCAGACTGTCCCAAGAGAGTGTTTCACGGATTTCGGTAATTCGGCGAGCGTCGTGTCGCGTTGTGGAGCAGAGCCCCTCGACTCTCAACGCAATGTCCTGGCGAGACTCTCAATTCTGGAATTAGCATGGACACTTGTGGCGAAACCAATTCCAGCCACCGGAGCACACTCATACGTTCAACCCACATTTAAATATTCCAACTAACTAGTACCCGACCGCCACCACTTGTACCCACCTTTGTAGACCTTTCCGAACTGTCCCTGGCCGATCTCCGACATGTTGGCGATCTGCTCTTTGAGGATGTGCGCGACCTTCATGGTGGCCAGAGGCGAGGTGGAAGGCGACTCGTGGTAGTAATTGGGGTTCGAGTGCACCCGGTCGTCCAGATCGATGTTTTCGGTGATGGTGATCGGCATGGTCTGCGGAAAACACACGGCGTCAGCTTATTGCAATAGGAGTTGGTCGTGAGCGTGCAGAGGCACTCGTTACCTAAGCATTGACAATATTATTACAGGACGTCGGAGTTCAATAATGACGGTAACTGTGTCTACACCACACCAAACTGGGAGTGGCTGGTACGGTAGAGCCAACATTCAAAATATCTCAAGTTAAGGTTCGTAGGTTACGTGGGTCCGATTAAGCGCGCATTAGGGAAATCGTCTGATCAAGCTAAACAAAAAATATAACAAGATAAATCAAATCAAATCAATAAAATGAATAGATCATTGAAGATTTATCTGCAAGTTACAGTACTGCGTAAAACGATGGACAAAATGATTTATTTTTATCAGGCTTGCAACATCGAGACTAATGATTTAGTTGTCAGGATTGCACCATCGAGACTAATCATTATATAATTGACGTCTTACTCTTCAAAATTCCTTTCAAACACCCCATACGGCGCCATTGTAATTCCCAAGCAAGAAAAAGAAGACATAAGGAAATGCTACAAATATTAACGGATTTAATGTTTGAGCCAACCGTCCGCCGTAGCAGCACTCACCAGTTTGGTTTCGTCGAGTTTGCGTTTGGCCGCTCTGGAGCCGGCCTTTTTGACACACCGGCGTCTCCAGCAGACGGCTATGATGAGCAGAACCAGCAAGGCGCTGACGATGCTCGGAACCAGCACCAGCACCCACGGCGGCGTGCCGGCGGTCGACAGCGCCTGCAGGCGGGTCACGGGAGGTCAGAGGACGAGTTACAGACCGGGCCACAGGAGGTCAGGGGGTTACAGAAAGGGTCAGAAGGCGGGTCACAGGACGGATTACAGACGGGTCACAGGAGGTCAGGGGGGTTACAGAAAGGGTTACAGGACGGGTCACAAGAGGTCAGGGCAGGGTGGGACGGGTCAGTTGGCGGTACAGGACATTAATCCGGAATTCAGGACAGCCGTTACCTCGGGGATTAGCTTCAAAAGATCATGTGATTGACTGTTTGCCTCATATTAGTTCGTTGTATTTTTTCGTATTCACTAGTAGGAGCCAAAAATAGATGATTATCTGCAATAGATATCTAGTCACAGAACTTGAAAACTTGCAGTAAACTATTTATGTTCGTGTTTGTACAATTGTTCGCATTACACATGCTGACATAAAATATTTATCACAACGTTTATCCCATACCACAACAAAATGTTTCTAAGCACAACTATCCAAACATTTTGCAGTCAATTTCACACGACCAAAGTCAATGAGCAGGAGTACGTGTACATTTAACCGCGAAAAGATCACAAAAAAACTACGTTAACTTATTCTATTCCCTTCCAAAAACACAGAAAATGTTGGGTTCAGATTAAGAGCGAATGCAGTAAGAAAATACACTAGAAACGATATTTCAACATTGAATGCCATAGACGTCGTGAAACTTGCATGCTTTCATTACAAAACAAATTGCGTTGTGGAGATATCATCTTGTTGACATATATTTTTAACAAAATGCCACTGTAGAGCGCTAACCGACTATCAAGCCTATGAAGCATGTCGTCAAAAAAGCTTGACTAGCTGAACTGGATGCAAAATACTCTCTCAGACTCCTGAAACGCGGCTCAGATCCAGTTCAAATCCAGCTCAGTGAAAATGTCTCAATAGACGTGCTTAAATGGATATTTGCAAGAGGCCCAGATAATCGGTAAGGTATATGGGCCACTGACAGCCACTGACAGGACGAAGTTCTGAGAAAACTGAAAAGTCGCCACTCAATATCTGCTGTATACTCGCAGCTGTAGTTGAGCGCTTTATCGCAGCGAGCCGATTCGATTCCCGAACTCCTCATTTGGATGCAGTATAAATTCCATTCCGACTGAGCATGCTGCAGAGGTGTAATCCACTCTCACTTCATCGGCAGCGGCCGGTTGCGGCTATCGTCTACGCATACTCCATTGTTACTATGAACTCGTATCTGCCTAAAAAATACCCACCGAGGACAAACCGTTTCTTCGGCGATTTATGATCTGAGAAAGCTCATTGTCTCATTGTAGTTGGGGAAGGCCACTACGATGACGCGCGCGTCACCGGCACCGACATGGATAATATTCTAACCGTCGGGAATCGTCTCTCCCTCACACACAGTCTGTACATCCTGCAGTACCGTGAGGGCAGTGCCACGAAGCGGGACAGAGGAGGTGACGCGTACAGCCGCTCCGGGCCGGGGCTTGCCGCTGGCGCCCGGGTGCAGTCGGCACTGCGTCGTCTCGGCGCCACGGATCCAGTGGGTGCAGTCCTGTCACCGGAGACTGAGAGCGGCACACCAGAGCAGGCTCGGTGATGAAGTCTCCACGAGCGATGGTGGTGGTAACACGCCGATTGGACTCCAGCCGGTACACCTTGGGCGACGACTGAGCGCCCAAAAAGGGCACCACGCACACACCGGTCGGCAGCATTTTTAACCGATTTTCTTCTTCTATAGTCAGCTCCACACACTGAATATGCAGATCAAGAGAGCTCGGACTTCAACTATGCACGAGATCTCACATTCGGCGTCCACTTTCAGTAGTGTCGAAAGCCGACTACACTGGAGACCCAGCGACGCAGCCAAATATAGGGACGCAGCAACGATTCACTGTTCCCTCTAACCCGTTCAATGATTGAACAAAGTTGGAGGCATTCAAGACAGATACAAAGGAGCTCACGAACCAAACCTGGTACAGACAGACTATTGGAGTAAATAGTTCGGTCAATTAAACCTGGACCCTAACTTTCCAACACCCACCCATAGTTTCGTGAATGCATCTGTGCGACCTGTTCCAATAGCCCAGCCGGCCCGAAACAGTTGTCTATACATGTTGGTTCATCAGCGCTAGGCGATGGAGTTGCCCCATGTTTCAGGGGTTTTGACATCGTGTTATGGACAACCAGGTGTGCTAGTGAATAAACAGGGAAATTATGTGGGTAGACTCAGTAAGGAAGTCATGATATACGGGTATAACGAAGTGCTGAATCAAACCGATAACGTAAACACGGCACGATGAATTATTTTATGCATCGGTAATCGAACATAATAAGAGAGTACGAGAAAGGGAACTGAAAAAAGAAACGGTTCTAATGTACTGATCCAAGCATCCGGCACAGGAAATCGACACATGGGCAAATCCGGCCGTTTACGAATGAACCGGACATTTCGAAAGAGAAATTGCAATTGCGTAATCGCTACTGGGGCAACACATTTCATTCGAACAGTCATTGCTCTAAAAAAGTTGTCTTAGTTCTGACTAAATACAGTCTGGTCACTGGTGTATGTGCAGTGTGCACCCGTTAACAAACTGTTATCTTATATCGTTAGGTACATCGCACTCACCTCCCCGCCACCATCCTGGTCGCCGCGGCTCAGCGGAATAGGAGACGGAAACGTGTCGTCGCCCACTGAAATGGAACAGATAGACAAAATTATATTCATCACATCTTTTTGTGTGTGAGCAATGGAGCATACAGATGAGTAAACTGGAATCAGAACCAACAATGGTAAGCCAAGGTTAAATAAAAGATATATTTGAAGAAAAACAATCGTTTCTCCGCAATTTTTATCTTATACACGCCACAGCTTTTCCATATTTCTGGTGTTCGGCTAAATGTAAATCGCTGTATTTAAAACACAACAGAGCGGGTTGGCAGCTCAATCGTCGCCGTGCACTTACGGATGTTGCGTTTGCACTTGAAGTTCTCTGGGGCATCACCAGTGGGTTGGGAGAGGTCGTGTGGGCAGGTACAGACGTGCCGGCCGGTCTGCACGTCTATGGCGCAGGCAGCCTCCATCCCGCAGAGCTGCTCCGGGTTCTGACACGCCCTCTGACCGGGCGATAGCGGAACTGGGGGCGAGGGACGAGGCACGGTTAGCTCCCTGCGGGACGAGACGAGCCCAGAGAGCTACATTTATCCCATGCATTTGACCTGACCACAATCAGTTCAGCTCCGCGTTCAACGTAACTTTCACCAATGCACCAATGCGACAGAACCAATGCAAATTTGAATTGGTCGGAATTTGCATCATTAATCCCTGCTTAAAGCTGGTTTCATTAACATTAACCTCAAAGCCCATGGGACTGCCACCGGTCGACGTTGTCTGAGCTGTGATTGGCCTCTATCCGGAGGGGCCACTCGACCAGTTTCCTGCTGCATTAGTCGTGAGCATACGGCGCAGTCATCACCCACGATTGATGATAATGGTAAATGGTGTGCCCGCTCCACTGACCACAAAAAGACGCTCTTTATTAGGCTGCGGCGTCGAAGAGCTTTTTATAATATTTCTCAGGCGTCCTGTCCAAGCCTCGGTCCCGTACTTTGTCCATGGACGATTCGAGTCCACCGAAAAAATGTGGTTTTTACTTTTGCTCCAAAACTGTCTTAACATTTTTAACCCTCGCCGGCCGAGGGGGGGGGGGGGGCGGGTGCCGCCCCCCCCATAGGGTTTTTTCGCGATAGCTCCAAACACGCTGGCGATAGAGAGCTGAAACTTGGCATACCTGACCTTTGATCCAAGCCGCATCTTTTGACTTCAACCGCATTTTTGGGTCAGGTCAGGTCACTGATCTATGACGTCATAAGTGAACCTCTGCACGGTCTTCAGATGTCGCAACTTCGCAACGCCCTCACTGCCAGAGGAGATGTCACAGGGAAATGAAACTTGCAGGATCTAGTATCCATTATGAGTCTCACAACTTGTATATCTCGGATTTTTCCTAAAGGTCATATGAGGTCAGGTCATTTTCGTGACCTCACCATTATAAGTCAATGGGGAAAAATGAAAACTGCTATTCTGGCGCCGGGAACGATCTCCAACTATCTCAAGCACACAGAATCGTGATTTGATGCACTCCTTGCAAGGTCAGATGCGTCACTTTTGCAATGTTGACCTTGCGTGACGTCATTTATGACGTCATCAAGGTCATATTAGTTTTTCGTCAATAACTCTTGATCAAATTGAGCTAGCGAGTCGAGAAAGCCACCAATGGACTCAGGAAGACCTGCCGAATCGAATGATATGCGACATGACCCCTTTCGACCAACTTCGTGACCTGGGGGTGCTGACCTGACCTTGACCTGAGGTCAACATCCCAAGTTGACCTGACCCAGACAAAAAGTATATCATTCGACGCGCCTGAGCGAGGCGAACACGATGCTGCCAAAATCGCGGCTCTGCGGCCGTTTTTTGCGAAGTTATTCACCAAAAACTGAACCGTACCCTGGGGCACTTGACCTGACCTCAGAGGTCACCGGTTGACCTAGGACCTTAAAATCGGGTACCAATCTCTGCGTCTCGTAACGGCGCACACGCTCGTTTTTTCCGCGACGCGCTAGCTCCACCAGGGGCGAAACGGCGAGGGGGGGGGGGGTCGTACCCGCCCCCCCCCCCCCTCGGCCGGCGCGTATGTAGAAAACTAATAGGTCCGGCGAGGGTTAAGCTAATACGAATATTTGAACAACGCATTGCCCTGCCGGAACTGCGTTGTTTTAGTTCACAAGATACCAAAGTTTATCCTGTGAACACAATGTCGCTGAAACGAGCTATTCAGCCCACTTTGTTCGACAACAATATCGGATAATATTGGCACCCTTCAACCAGCTCTATGGACAAGGTGATAGATAGTATCCCTGTGTTATAAGTTTTTAGGGCCCGTTATAACCATCTTTTTACTAAGGTTATGAAATGGTCTAAAAATTGTAACCAAAGCGCCTCCTACAACCTGACAAATACTTCACAGCTCACCCTAACTGCGGTGCACGAATATCATCCTGCTCAGTGCTCGGCACACAGTATTGTTGAATAACATGTCACGGACAGCGACGCGTTTGCTTAGGCAGTGAATAGTACCTTCACTTGACGCCAATGACAGCGAAGACCACCTCTGTCGTAACTTTACTGTGTGTTACCTAATTGCACGTTACCCGAGGTGCTTGTGACTGAATATAATAGTGGATTGGTTACAGACGTCTGACGTTTTCAGTCGCTCAATAGACGAAAATTGTTCAGCAGTCAACAACCGGATGTTTGGTGTCTGCAGCCAATAGCCATTCAAAGTTCACTGTAGGCGATAGACGATAAACGAAAGACGCTGCTAGAATGCTGGTTGAGCTGCTATTGAAGAAAAGGAGTTCGATCCGCTACCCACATACGAGTATATTGGCCCTGATAATGACAAATCACATGCTCCGTCTGCGTCTTCTCATCACGTGCTGTCGGCGTTTGGGACCGGTGGGACTTGGTCGATGCTCCCCATTACCTAACGCAGCAACTCCGTGTCCCTATACCCGATGCCGGTGGCCATTGATGCTACACGAAATAGCCTAGTCGGTCAGGAGTTGGTTTATGCGGGATGCCGGGACATTACTGATGATACGGTGCATCTAATTAGATAATTGGGTTATAAGACCATCCAAGTTGACTTTTAAGTATCTGACAGAGGCTACGAATTCCGTGGATTCGACTGTGACTGATGTCCGTACTTACACCGCTGATAATGATAATGATAGGCAATGACACTCCCACTGACACGAGAGTGCTAATACTGCTGCCACCAGACTGACACAGGCTTGCTTCTTATTCCTACCGACATTGAAACCAGATTGGGTATTGTTCTCATAGAGCACCGATATCAACATGAATACCGACGGAGACTCTAGCATCCTCCCCTTCCCTCTCCCCCACTGACCTCCCATGAATAGTCACCTCTACCCCCCTCCCCCTCCCACTGACCTTCCGTGGTCGTAGGCGCCGTGCCGCCGTCGGTCGGCGTCGTCGTCAGCTCCGCCGAAGGCGTGGTGAACGGCACCGCCGTGGTGTAGATGCACGGCTCTCCAGGCTGGATAATGTGCGTGTCCCTCGGACATCGGCAGACGAACTGGTTGGGTCCGACCACCTCGCATCCCGCCTCGACGTTATTGCAGTAGTTGACCGGACAGGTGTTGCGCCGTCGTCGCCGATGCCAGCGCGACTGTCGAGACCGACGGCCTCCGTCTGCGAGAGGGGAGGGGGAGGTCAGCAGGAAATGCAGGGCGAGAGAGAGAGGGAGAGAGGGAGAGAGAGAGAGAGGGAGGGAGAGAGGAAGAGAGAGAGAGAGAGAGAGAGAGAGAGAGAGAGAGAGAGAGAGAGAGAGAGAGAGAGAGAGAGAGAGAGAGAGAGAGAGAGAGAGAGAGAGAGAGGGTCAGCGTGAGGTCCGGGGCGAGAGGAGAGGGAGGGGTCAGCGTGAGCTCCGCAAGGGCGAGGGGTGTAGGGTCAGTGCGAGGTCCAAGACGTGGGGATAAAGGGGGGGGGGGGTGGAGGCCGGCAAACAGGCCGAAACTTTGGATAGAGTGGTGGGAGTATGTAGAGCATTGCTTATTAAAAAATGAGGAAAGTGATGTTTTTATCAACCCACATTCGCATTTCTTTCAGTTTTCAATGTCGCTGGCTATTATATTTGCGGTCTTATATTTGCCTATAACTACCTCAACAAGAATGCAATGGTACTATTCAAAAGTTGCATTCATTATTCCACCGAACCCTCCGAACAGACTCTGCCTTGGTAATAGCGGCAACGATTAGTAGGTAAACGACGCCAAACTCAGCGAACTCAACCACCTTTAATGGAGTTCTAAAAATACGCCTCATTAACCTTTCGTGACCCGTAAAGATGCTAGGTGACCCCCAGCACCTCCTTTCCTCACCCCTCTGCCATCTCATCTTACGGTACGCCCCGCTCGCGTCGGGCCGTCGCTACTCGCTGCGCCCAGCCGAGGGGCGCGGCACGAGCACAGGACTGGGAGGGGACGGCGACGGGGACGGTGACGGGGACGGGGTACCGACAAACCCCACCTGCCGGGGACATACTCGGACCAGTGTGTGTGTGTGTCGGCGCCGTGACAAGCGCCAACTGTGGACGCTCCGGAGCGTTTGTTTGCCTTGGATGGGGACGCTGTTGTTACTTAGGCGCGACACTCGACGTTCGTACGCAGCGGCGCCGAAAGGAGCAATGCGCGGGGCACTACCGCGCGTACGTGCGTTGACTACAGAATGATGTCCCACCCCTCACAGTCTATCAGATGGCTGGCATGTTAGATTGTGCCGCTTATTACAATGTTACCTAACTGTGTCTATGATGAGCTTATTTTCACAGGAACAGACTGTGCCACTCAACATGTGTAATGCGGTACAGCCTACCATTCCAGGCAACCGATTGCCTGGGAGAAGTGAAACATCACTTTGTAGTTAAGTGTACCACCTTAGTACCGCCTATGGCCGTCGAGGTACCACCGGGATGCCGCCAGAAACCACCACCGCTGGTCATTGATCATTTCCGGGTCGCCGCCGTTGCCGACGGCGCTGCTGCAGCACCACAAAAGGATAGTGGTGTCGAAACTCCCCTGGGGGAATGACCAGGACATTGGCTGGCACGGAGAGCGACATAAAGGTGCCGTGAGGCTGACTGATGGCGTATGAAGGACATAAACTGCACACCGAATCAAAGTTGTAATACCATGAGCTACGATTTTGGGCAACAGAGTCGTTAACTTGTCCACTTGGGTGAGGATGAGCGTAAAACAATGCGATTTAACTGGCTGGATATTACTCGACAAAATCATTTCAGAACTGGTTAACCATCTTCGCAGGTAGATTCATTGTTTTTGTATCATGCGCGACAAGGTGGATTCCGTTTCATAGCCGAATCCATGCAAAACAGGCGAGTTGCATAACATACCGTAAATGATGCTTTACATAAGACGAAAAACCTTACAAGCCAAACAAATAAGCCTGTCGTATTGTGCTTGATCAATGGACCAAACGGCCGAGGTCATCCAGCCTCACTGAACCGATACACAACCCGCGCTTGGAATGAACATAAACACAGCTTTACTCCGTATTGGTATTTCGTCATGCCATGTCCCCCTCCCCCTTCTGTAACATGGGGAACGCCCCATCTCCTCAGCATGGTACTAAGAACGACCTTCTCTTCCAACCGTGACTGGTGAGCACCACGGACCGTACTCCCTCTCTCTCTCTCTCTCTCTCTCTCTCTCTCTCTCTCTCTCTCTCTCCCCCTCCCTCTCTCTCTCTCTCTCTCTCTCTCTCTCTCTCTCTCTCTCTCTCTCTCTCTCTCTCTCTCTCACCCATCTATAGGCAAGATCAATCTAGGCAATCAATCTTATGGCATAGTTTGCCATAAAAAAATAAATCTGTCCTAATTTGAAGATATTGATAAGACTAGACTAATTACTTTTGCATAAGCTAATAAAACGAGAAGTCCATCAATACCAACCTTACTTGGGAGCGAATCGATTACAATATAACTGATTTCAGCAGGATTGTTTATAAATGCTTCTGCAATCGAGCGTGACGAGCGAAAAGTCTGCAGATCCACTCAGAGCAAAAACACATTTTGTAGATGAAGTGCGTTAGAGAATACTGTATCTGGCTGCCCGCTCGTGGTCGTTATGACATGTAACACTTCTATAAACATCGTTAACGAGCTGCGAAGCATTTTGTTCAGATCATTTCACCAAGGACCATTCATAAAATACCCCTCACTCACTCACTCACTCACTCACTCACTCACTCACTCACTCACTCACTCACTCACTCACTCACTCACTCACTCACTCACTCACTCACTCACTCACTCACTCACTCACTCACTCACTCACTCACTCACTCACTCACTCACTCACTCACTCACTCTGTCTGTCTGTCTGTCTGTCTTTCTGTCTGTCTGTCTGTCTGTCTGTCTGTCTGTCTGTCCCCCCTCTCTCTCTCCTCTTCACATAAAAAGGACAAGGAACACTGAAAACCTTTAAGTTGAGACCGGGATGTAAGTGAAGATATAAATTACGGGAAACTTGATGGTTCAAAAAGTTGCCGCACGCGTTCTTGGGGAAAAAAATAGTTTTTATTGCAGACTTGTTCAGGAAGATTAAATCAATTTCATTTGAAAAACGTAGATTTTTTAAGGAGGAGCCAATTTTGACTTGAACAATGAATTGATATGTTAAACATGGCATGTTAATTTTTTGAAAATACGCTTGTTTTTCATTTTGAATTATATCTAGCGTTATAAAGTAATATCATTAACTACTCGTAAGCACAAAATATACGATGAACACGTCAGAAACTCTTGAACATAAATCAATAAGCAGCATAGGTATTCCGAAAATAGATAACTCGGTCTCATCAAGCAGCACACATTGGCGACCAAAATAAAATCAGAGGCCCATCTTTCATAGGAGGAATTACCTCCTCGGCATCATAGTCGGCCGTATATTCAGAGTCGACCCACTCTGGTGGCGTCGCCGGCGGCCGACCGGGGAATATTACCTCCCACCAACGATGCCCGCGGGTGTCTCCGGCCCGCCGACCGTAACCCGGGATCGATGGCGCCCCCGCCCCCGGCAGGTCATCGCGCCTCGTGCGTCCATGGTAACTGGCCTGGCCCCCACGCCGTGGGCAGACTGGTCATCTCTGCCACTGCATCTATGGGTCAAGTCGTCTCCTGCCGCAATTGACGCAGCTGTAGAAAGGTCATCTCTCGTCATGAGTCCATGAGCCACAGTCGCCGCCTTATAGACACCGAGCTTGTGTGATATGACGCGGTCGAGTCCCTCTGTCGCATGGCTCATTGGCACAAAGCAGGGCTACGCTCCGTCTCCAACAGTGCAAGGTGATGGTGATGGGAGTTTACAGACGTAGGGAGCGGCTGATTTCATCATCCCGGCCGTCCAGTTCTCGAGACTGACACAGTTGTCGAAGGAGCACCTCTCGGGACAGCCACTGTGTCTCTGTCAACATACCCCGGGGAGGAATTTGTAGCAGTGACGTGACAAAACTAAGATGGATGCCCTAGCTAGTGACGGGTGGTTATGTTTGTAAGGGACTGGTCAAACATGGCGGCATGAACTGGGTAGCGACCGGCTGGTTTGTGTACAATTGGTGTTCTGAGTACGGAGTAGCGTGTCGAAACCCTACCCCCCCCCCCCGGCGTCGGGGTCTTGGTTAAAATGACATCATGATGGTCTGTGTGCTTCTCTGAGTTTTCATACGTTCATACTTCATATGCCGCGCCATCTGAATTCATACTTTATTGTTACTTGCAGAAGTAACCAAGCGGATGGAAAGACCTTGCAGTAGCCTGCACAGTACAGTGAACCTGTTTGGCAAGTAAACATCGCAACGGCTACCATCAAAGGCATCTTACAAAGTCACCCACCATTATAAGCCCAATTGAAAGCACAATTGCACACGAAATCCAAATTATTTTCAATAGTTGCTTGTCTTTTTAGTACTTTTTTAACCTATATTATTGAGCTGAGTACTGTTGCAGTATTGAGTAGGGGTAAGCGGTGGAAGGCGGGCCTTAAGCGATGCTTCCAGCTTGAATCAACATTCGAGCCGACAAAAGCTCTGTGGAGTCGTCGAAAAATGGAAGGCTTTTCGCAAAGACGGACTCAAAAGACTTATCGAGAACTGCCGCAACAAGGCGATATTTGACAAGAAATAAAGATAAAATAACGTGACATTGGAGGGTGGTATAAGTTTTGAACAGCTATATTGCGTGTAGAAATTAATGTGGAAGCAAATTTCATTGTGCCTCTATCAGCTCATATTGATTAAGAACTATACACGAGCAAAAAAAGTCACTTATCCTTTTACTTGTACTATGCATCTATGTATTCACTGACATCATGAGTTTCATTGGAATGCTGCGTCCGGCAGCCCTGTCGGCCTGCAGTCTGACCGAATGACGTCACGCTTGGCCCGGCCACCACGCGGGCCTGGTCGGACACTCGGGCACCACACGGACGGCCATCGAGGCGATATGGCCTGCCTAACAGCGATGTCCACTTGGCCAGGCATGCACTGTGTCGGCGGACCCAGGGTCGAGCTGAGAGCCGGCAGTGCTCCGGTAATCCACCAGACTGGGGAAAAATCGCAGGCTTAGTGCCGTCCCCCAGCAGACTGAAGCCGCCAGGGGCCTGTGACCAGCGGGT